GGGCAGATGCAGTTTAATATAGACAAATGCAAAGTTCTAAACATTGGACAAGAAAATACTCATGCTACATATAAACTAAATAATGTAGATCTTAATATTACTGATTGCAAAAAGGATTTGGGAGTTCTGGTTAGCAGTAATCTAAAACCAAGACAGTGCATCCGTGTTCACAATAAAGCAAACAGAATCCTTGGCTATACATCAAGGAGCATAAATAATAGGAGTCCTCAGGTTGTTCAACTCTATATATCTTTGGTTAGGCCTCATTTAGATTATGCTGCACAGTTCTGGTCACCATATTACAGAATGGGTATAAATGCCCTGGAAAACATACGAAAGAGGATGACAAAGTTGATCCCATATATCAGAAATCTATCTTATGAGGATAGACTGAGGGCCCTGAATCTGCACTCTAGAAAGATGTAGAATTAGAGGGGATATGATTGTGGTGTAAAAGTGAAGAACAGGAATAAAGGGAATGCAAATAGCGTGCTAAAAATATCTTGCCAAGACAGGACTTGAAGCAATGGTTTTAAGCTAGAAAAATTCAGATTAAGGAAGGATATAGGAAAGCATATGTTTGGTAATAGTTGTGGATGAGTGTCACAAACTCCCAAGTACCGTCATAGAAGCTAAGATGTTGTGTAGTTTTAAAAATAGGTTGGATAAATACATGAGTGGGTGTGGGTGGACCTGACTAGCTTGTGCTAATAGGTCTGATGCAGGGCTCCTTAAGTGGATGTGACCTGACCTGACTGACTAGGAGGTTTAAGCCTGGAGGTGACTTGGACCTGCCTCACATGGGCCAGTAGGCCTGTTGCAGTGTTTTCTTTCTTATGTTCTTATAAAAAAAATCGTACAAAGCTTTTAAAATGTAGTGTTTGTAATGTCATTGACTAGATTTTAGGGGAGATCTACAGAACCACTACCATCCCAACACAGCTACAACACAACCACAATACAACCACCACCACCACTACAATACAACAACCACCACCACCACTACAACCACCACCACCACTACAACCACCACCACTACAAACCACCACCACCACTACAACCAACCACCACCACTACAACCACCACCACCACACAACCACCCACCACTACAACCACCACCACCACTACAACCACACCCACTACACCCCCACCACCATACAACCACCACCACTACAATACCACCACCCCACCACCACTACAACCACCACCACTACAATACCACCACCACCACCACCACTACAACCACCACCACACAACAACCCCACCACCACCACTCAATACCCACCACCACCACCACTACAATACCACCACCACCACACCACTACAATACCACCACCACCACCACCACTACAATACCACCACCACCACCACCCCACTACAATACCACCACCACCACCACCCCACTACAATACCACCACCACCACCATACCCACACCACCACTACAATACACCACCACACCACCACTACAATCCACCACCACCCCACCACTACAATACCACCACCACCACCACACCACTACAATACCACCACCACCACCACCACCACTACAATACCACCACCACCACCACCACCACTACAATACCACCACCACCCCACTACACAATACCACCACCACCACCACACAATACCACCACCACCACCACTACAATACCACCACCACCACCACATACAATACCACCACCACCACCACCACCATACAATCACCACCACCACCACCACCACATACAACACCACCACCCCACCACTACAATACCACCACCACCCACTCCCACCAATACCACCCACCACCACTACAATACCACCACCACCACCCATACAAACCACCACCACACACACACTCACAACTACAACCACCACCACCACACACATCCCACCACACAACACCACCACCACTACAATCCACCACCACCACCACCACTACAATACCACCACCACCACTACAATACCACCACCACCATACATACCACCACCACCATACACATCCAACCACCACCACATACATCCACCACACACCATACAATCCACCACCACCACCTACATCCACCACCATACATCCCACCACCATACATCCACCACCATACATCCACCACCACCATACATCCACCACCACCATACATCCACCACCACTACACCACCACCATACATCCACCACCATAATCCACCACCATACATCACCACCACATACATCCACCATACATCCACCACCACATCCACCACATACATCCACCACCACCCATACATCCACCACCACCATCATACATCACACCACCATCACACCACACCAATCCACCACCATACATCACCACCACCATCATACATCCACCACCACCATCATACATCCACCACCACCACCACCACCATACATCCACCACCACACATCCACCACCACACCACCATACATCCACCACCACCACACATCCACCACCACACCATACATCCACCACCACCATACATCCACCACAACCACCACCATACATCCACCACAACCACCACCATACATCCACCACAACCACCATACATCCACCACCACCATCCACCACCACCATCCACCACCATCCACCATACACCACAATACAACCACAACCTCCACTCCACCAACACACCCAAGTGAGAAAATCGTTTAAAAATGGTCGCCGACTACGTGGGGGACATGTGGCCTAAATTATTGATTTTTGGCAGCAAGCCTCGCCGACACATTTCCTGCGCATGAGAAATTAAAGAGATCATCTTTCCTGACCAGCAGAGTTGCAGTCATGTTGAGATACAGGTCACTGAAGCAGGACACATTCATTATGTATTCAAGGGAAGTGTTAAACCTGTGTCATACAGGACTTCTGGAATAGAAGGCACTCAGGTTTGACATGTGGTTGGGACACCATGGGCATTAAGTTTATTTAGGTACAGGTACAAATATGTACAATTATCATACATAATGTAAATTATAAAACTAGGGAAAGGGAATACAACTTTGTAGTACCTGCAGTCAGTGGCCAGGCTTCAAACACATTTTATTGTACAGCATTAAAGGAATGGAACAGACTGCCTGCACATGCCAAGCCTGTCATAGCATGAAGCAGTTCAGGAAGAGAACCAAAAAATACCTAATAAATGTAGCGACAGAAAGGGAGGAGAATGATTTTTTATATAGCTAACACACATGTAAATATAAATAACACAGTTTGCCTTATTCCTAGTATATCTCCTTTATAGTATAATAATAATAAGGTCTTATCTGCTTTATAATATAATAAGGTATTAAAAAGACCCCAGTGGAAATAAGTCATTTTGACTTTTTGGGTCATCCTAGGTAATCTACACATACATATGCTGCTATGTATGATAATGTATGTAACAGCATTTATGTGTACCTGTACCTGAATAAACTTAAATTACCTAGGCTAGCTCCAAAAAAGTTATTTAGGTACAGGTACACATAAGTACAATTATAATACATAGCATAAATCACCTGGGATAACCCACAAAAGTCAGTGACTTATCTCCATTGTGCCAACATCCATGGGCTGCAACTACTGAACCGCCCACCAGCAGTTTTCAGAATTACTGCAGGAGCAAGAGTAGAAATCCTCAAGGGAAAACAATGACTACCTCCAACTGCCACATTAACCTGACTGTAATGGATATGCTCAGGCTATGAACAGCAACAGCCTGGTTGAACAGGCAAGCAGCAGACCACAGGAATGGGGACACTCTTGAAACTGGTCACATGAGTGATCACCTGGCACAAAATTTATTATTACACATTAAGTTGCAAAACCACATCCACTGATGCATCTGTAATGTAATATATATTCTAAGATAATCAATTAAAACTCTTTACAATATTAAATTTCATATTAATTGCCTTCCAACTTGAAAAAAATATATGCATACATATGACACACCTGTGGCCAGTTTTGAGGGATCGTCTATCTTTACACTTGTCAAAAGTATTTGACCCAGGGAATTGCAGCTACCTTCCCATTCCTTGGATTAAACCAAAGTACACCTTATTCTCCAGGTGATATATAACTGCAGGACAAGCACTTTTCTGTGGATATATTTACAGTAATAACCTACCCCTGCAGTCTAGCCTGAGGCCAGACTTCCTTGTTGACTGCTTACTCAGCTATATTAATGCTGCTAGCAGCCTACATAGGTGATCTCACACCTTTTGCACATTCTTATTAGGCAAATGAAAGTTAAATGTCAAATTAAAGTTTCTCTGTTCAAAAAAACATTTTGAATCAGTCATTCAGATTTGAACGTTTCTTTCAGATCCTGAATATAGAATATAATATGGAAATAACATTATTTTTATTATTTATTACCACTATTCATTTAGAGGTGAACAATGAAAATGGAATCCACTATAATCTGAAAAATAGATAAGCAGTAAGCATATTATTTTTGTCAAAAGCACACAGTAAATATGTATGGGTCATACAACACTGGCAGCAGCAAGAATAGCAGCGAGTTCCAAAGCACACACAAACATAAGACTCGGTAACTAGGAGCAATAAAAAATCCCCAGTGAGTATTTGTGAAAGTCCCACACTTCTATCTCACCTTGAGAAGTCAATAAGAAACTGAAAAAATTAACTGAATCGTGGTTCAATGCTAAGGAATCTATATCTGTATGACCAACGTCAGCTCATCATCCCAAGTATATCTATTTTTGTACTGTGGCTCTAGAATGTTAGTAAAGTGACTAACAGTGAACTGTGAACATGAGGTTTTTACACAAGTCTTACTTATTACAGAAAATGTGTCTCTTGTCTGTCCATACTTTCAAGTTTTACAGAAATCATTTTAGAATAAATTTAAATGTCAAACCCATTGAATCATATATGCAATAATTTTTTTTGTTCACTACCTTGTAAACTGATCTCAAATGATCATCACACTTTAAAATGCTACAACACACTTGATCCTTCTCAAAAACCATACTGCATTTGTAAAAGTTTTATACTGTAGTGTTACACACTTCTTCTTTTTCCAGGTTGGTAAAAATGTTATCTACCCTAACTTGGGCCAATTTGTGGAAGGCCAGAGCTCTCGGAGGGAGATCTCATACTACCAGTGGGTGACATTTTTCTTGCTGATTGAGGCGCTAGTCATCTACCTACCTCGGCAGATCTGGCACCAACTCACTCACAGTCAGTGCCTCCCCTTCGATTTCACCAACCTTAGGCGCCGTGAGGACTGGGAGGATAAGAAGAATTTCCTGGTTTGGCATATGAAACAGACAAGGGGAAATCACGAGTATTGGCTTTGGCAATACCTCTTGACAGAACTTTTAGCGATTGCCCTACTTGCTTCCTTCTTCATCCTCACTGATGTGTTCCTTGGAGGTGACTTCTACAACTATGGTCTGGACTGGGTCAACTTCATGCACAATGCTACCAACACTACGATCTCTCCCATGACAGCACGATTCCCTCGTCTGACTGTATGTAAGCTACAGTACCATAGTCGTGGAGGAACTATCAACAGTTACTACCCACTCTGCCTCCTCCCTATCAACTGTTTTAATGATAAGATTTTCCTGTTCCTCTACTTCTGGTATTGCATGTTATTTGGGCTGTCCCTGTTGCGAGGACTCTACATGCTTGTGCTTGTCACATGCAAGCCGGCACGTCGGTTGCGACTCAAGTTTAGCGCTAAGCTAGTGCCCGAAGATACGTTGGACCGGTTCATCAATGCACACAATCTCAGTGATTGGTTTGTGCTGTGCAATTTGGCACCCACCATGGATCCTGTACTCATTGCTGAACTTGTCACCCAGCTTGTGTACGAGGTGCAAGGGGGAGAAAGTTCCGACTCCAAACCGTCCCGCCTCGGAAAGCAAGAGAAGTCACTTCAGTCTGTAAATTACATATGAGATTCAGCGCAGCGCGCTTCCCCACACTCGCTCACACACTGCCTTCCCAATGGCCACCCAAGCTATGGATTCCGCGCAAACCCACATCCGTACGGACAGTATCATAATCGTTACCCACCCGTACATGGGTACGGCACCGCCTATTCCAACGGCCACTGTGAGGGGCTGTAAGTGTGGTTGGCTCCTGCCTGGCCTCTGTGAGGTCCTCCACCCCTCAGACCTGGGCCATGGCAGTGCACAGGGCTCGGCCCAGCCCCCTGCATCACCTGGATGCTTGGGGCTGAAGAACCGCACGCAGGGGAAGGCGCCGCGCGACTCTCATGAAACCATCGCACTACCACGTTGGGGCCCGTTGCCCACCATACATCTGATGCACCATTCAAGCCGAGCCTGGGATGGTGGGCCGTGCCGCTCAACTGGAGTAACAGAATAAGGAACAGTAATAGCAACAGAGCAGAACAAGAGCGTGGTCGAGCCCTGAGCTTTGCCAGGAGACCTGCCACCACAATGCAGGACAGTGGACGACCTTTGCACTTGGTTCGCCCATTTATGACACACCAGTCCCTTGCAACGCCAGCACTCTGCGTTTTTAAAAGGGTATGTCAGTGATATCGTTGAAATTTCAATCTGTTTTTGTTACCGGCGTGTGTTTATGGGAAGTATTCACAGATCTTGGTTATTGCTGCACTGGTTGCACCTTGCAATCAGTCAGCAGCTCCTGTTAAATCAAGTTTTTTCATATAGTGAATCTAATCTTTAAAGGACTGTTTGTGTGTATTTTATATGCGTGTAGATATTTTGTTTTGCTTGTCTAAGCTGTGTAGCTGACTGGTGATATTAAAAGAAAATGTTTTCTGCATATGAAAGTTTTATCAGTATTTAAAGTATTCTTCAGTATTATGAATGACATGTACCAAGATGAATTAATATATACAGAGTATAAGTTTTACTATTTATTTTGCGTGTGGTCTGTCAGAGCTTCTTGTTCATAACTAAAACAAACAGAAACACAGTGGACTTACGCTACTCGATTGCTAACGAGCCGTATGGTTAGCTCGACAGGCAAGTGTACATCTCAGTTGTTTGACACTTGGCTCACCTATGAAGCAACAGCCATCTCTACACGTGTCTTGGCCACACCCACAACCCACAACTACATTCACAACCTGGAACTGTAAAAACAAGGCTAAACACTTGCCAGTCAATTCACAAGAACTCCTTTGGTTGTTACATAATGAAACAACCTGCAAGAAAGTGAATACTGTGTAAAATATTGTGCACAACATGAAAATCTGTTATGTGGATGTCAAATGGGTGGTGAGGATTGGCCTAGGAGAAGGCTCAGCTCATGGGTTGCCCTCACCGCCGTGGGCTTCCTGCTTTTCAGGGGTGGTTCTTGGATGATCACTTGTACCCCCAGCCATAATAGTGAGAGAGACTGCCATGTATCAAGTATCTCACAGCACGATAAATACTGGGTATCATGGATCTGTGCGATTATAGATTTAACCATAAGTTGACGTACCCGCAAGGTTCCAAGTAGTATACTAGATAGAATCCCATACTAATTTCTAGGACATCGACATAATGGCCGTTCTCTCCTTGTTGAAGCTGTACGGAGGCTGGGGTGGCCGAGAAGGTAGCAGCACTGTAACTGCAGTTCTTACCTCCTACCACTCCTGCTTCCCTTCCCTCCCACCTATGATCTCACCAGCCTAGGTTATATAGCCATTATGTTCACTCGTCGGCCGGGGTGTCAGACAGGTAACATGTGTGTTTAGACTTGTATAAAACTGGTTGTTTTCTCATTCTTTATGGAGATTAATAACTTTTCTATTGTTTTGTTGTGATGTGCATATTTTATATGTACCAGTGTCTTTTTTCGAACTAGGTGAAATCGAATTTTACTAGATCATATTTATGTTGTCTGTTCGATATGATGTTTATATATCCTCACAGCAGAATGTTATTAGTTTTAGCTTCTTAATGGAACTGCGCATTAATTCTCCATAACTAAAGAAAGTTACAGTAGGGAGTTGCTTGATAACACTGCTTAGTTGACCTGTAGCTACTCACGGTTTAGAGCTCGATAAAAATACTCTCTATCTCTCTCTCTTTCAATCTATCTCCTTGCTCTTCCTCTCATCCTTGACCATATTTGTGAACCCTTCCAGTGTTCTGAATTTACGAGATCATCAGGTACAGTTTGCATTTTTAAAACAACAGATCCTGTATAGGATGTATTACCATATTTCAGAGCATAACTCGTGCAGTATTATGGCAGCACATGCTATAAATCTCAACTGTTGTTGAAAAACAAAAGTGTACATCAATTTATGAAGTAAACTCAACAGTGGAGAAGTTTGGATGTGTGGTCACAAGTCCCACGAGCAGACGTAAACTTTGACTGCTGTAGTTGTGGTCAAGAGGTCTAGGATTTGCCCCTTTATTGTGTATGCAGAATGGGACCTTGTTTGTATTCATGCTGCCAAGATGTGTATCAGAAGAACCTGGTGCCACTATTGTTAATAGTTATTTCATTATACACAATGATCAACTACCGTATATTTCACTAAGTTGATAATCACCATTATATTAGTACCTAGCCTGGCCTATCCTGTTACCTAGATTGTGAGGTGTCCCCTTTATTGCATCCTCAGCCAGCTAACTCCTATTGAAAACAAATCCTAATTGACCCATTGTACCTGCAAATGACTATCTAGTGACCCCTTTGCCCTACTCTCCCCAGAGATAACTTGTATACATCCTCAGCCATCAGTACATATTCTAGGAGTGGCACCAAGTTCTGATTACACCCACTAGTCTCTCCCAGTCAACCCTACCAGGGGGAAGGGAAGGTCTGCCCTATGTATCCTTACAGTCAATCTTGCTAGGAAGGAGAGGGAGGGAAGCTGACTGATACAGCCCTAGCAATCAAATTTGTCTCAAAGGATTAACCACAAAACACATTGGCAGTCTCCCACTAAGGCAGGGTGATGACCACAGTGTTGAAAGTTTCTTTTTTCAGTCAGATGTAGCATTAAATCTTTGAGATTTAAACAATAAGGCTCGTACTGTCTAGTACTCTAAGTTTATAATGATTTGTCATGTTATTACAAGAGCAATTATGAAATTCTTTTTTCTGAATGAGTTCTCTAAGACATATTAAGTCATTAGTGAACCTTTGAGGTCAAATTTCCTGTGAGGGGACTATACAGTCAACTCAGTCAGCCTTTTTTTTTTTTTTTTTTTTTTTCTGGGGAGGGTAAGGTCATTTGCCATAATTTCAACCAACCTTGTTAGGGGACAAAAATTAAAAAAAAAAATTACACTGTGGAAGAATAATCTTCTACACTCCACAATGTCAGCTTAGTTTTGACTAACACCACCACAGCCCTAACAACCAACTTAAACAGATAACTAATATAAGACATATTGTACTGTTTGAGACATCTGTATGTATAAATCTAGTACTATGAAGTTTACCTCAGACTGTTGTGATAAAATCATGGACAATAACGGCTGCTAGATTTTGCTGAGATAAATAGTTGTTAATTCATCAATGTTCCCTAAAAAACTTGTTTCTGGTCATGTTAAGGTGTGGACATGGGCTCTATAGCCTTCACTGGAATCTAAGTTTATGTGGGGCAGCATAAGGCTAATCATGTACATTATTTAGGGGTAACTTTTGACTCTTGAGTCATCACTAGAGAACTGTTGTATATAAGCATAGAACTTTCTAAATACTTTGACTTTCATTAAAAACAAAAAAGTTTATTTAAAGCAAGATTGGCTGTTCGGTGACAAGGCACGAGGGTTGATGGCGAAGACATGTAGAGGTATATCCTGACAGTTGTTTGTTTATAACTACTAGTAATGAAACTTAAAACAAAAAAACTACTACTCTATTCAGGGTTAGATCTCATTTCAGAAGTTAAAATGAAAAATAGGATTTTTTTGACCTATGTAACATTTAACAGAGTAAAAAAAACAAAAAAAAAAAAACACAAGACTACCTTGAGGTTCTTGACAAATAGTGGCTTGCAGGGCTGCGACACCACCTAACCTCAGCCTCGACACTACTTTGTGGTCAGCTGGTGACATCCTTGTGTAAGCTGCTGACCATACCAGCAAGGTCGTCTTACAACCACTTGGGATTTTAAAATGGAAAAAAATAGTTCTTTAAGTATGAACTGTTAGATACTGTAATAACTTGTTATAACTTTTGTGATCACAGTAGTGGGGTACTCTATTGACAAATGCTAGTCTTCAGTATATGCTATATTTTAGGTTCAGTAGACAGAGACGTTTATATATGTATATAAATATATATATAATGTATACACATGTATAATGTTTATACACATACATGTATATACATGTGTGTATATATACAAAATACATAATGTATTTATGCATACAGTGTATGTGTATACATTATGTATGTGTATACATTGTATACATGTACAATGTGTATAATGTATATGCATGCATATATGTGATGCACGTATATACATGATATATGCACATATTCACTATATGGATACACGTGCATATGTGTATGCATCATAAATACATGTGTATACATTATGTATATATGTATAAACATATATACATACTATATACATTATGTATACAGGTATATATACACAGATGTATATACATGTGTACATATACACTTGTACACATATGTCTATACATGTATATGTATACATATATACATGGTGTGTGGGTATATATATATATATATACACACTTAAAAAATATACATTTATGTACATACATGTGTATATATATATATAATATATATGAACTTGGAGCGATCATTTTTGTGTATAAACTTGCTAAATGTTCTTCTAGTTCTTCAGTTACTATTAAAATATTGTACAGAATTGGTGTTGGAAATCTTACTGTGGTGTCTTCTGCGCCATTACTGCCAATTTGGTCATATGATAAACTGTACATTTTATAAACTAATTTCCTCGGTTATCATCATTACGTAGGAGTCATAGTGCCTAGGGAATGGGCGGTAATCCTGTTTGATCCAAGGAAGGGTAGCTCCAATTCCTTGGATCAAGAGCCCTTCACCCGCATTGAGGCACTCGCCCCTTAAAGGGTAATTTACATAGCTACTTATTTTAATTATTAAACCAGTATCTCATAGTTTGTTGTCACTGTGCATATAACAAGAGTAAATCTATAATATTGTATTCATGTACAATACTGGTATATTTGTAATTTTTTTTTTTTTTAAGATCTCATTATTTAACAGATGTACACTGCATTAGGGTTTATTGGTCTTGTACCCAAAACTGGTAGATATGACCAGCATTTAGTGGTTATACAACTAGGCCTTCAGGTAACTTTATCAAAGACTAAATGTTCCAGAGGCAAAACTTGACACAGGTTTGACCTTGTAAAGAGTATCTGAAGCTGGTTTATCTCTATCCCCCACAACCCATCATTTAAAGAGATTAGTGGTGTCAATTGCTTCTAAGCGTTTGATAATTTCTCTTGTTACTCCACTGTTCAACAGATATATTTTTTCACTGTACATGAGATTTTCAAACATAGCATCTAGTAGGCTCTTTGACTGCCAAAAACCTTTAACATATTTTTTATTGTATTTATATATATTTAAAAAAAGTAAATTAAAGTAAATTGAGTCCTCCTTCATTCTGGGATCATTTTCTACCTTCACATTGGCACCACTGTACGTCTCTGTCTGTTGTTCCAAAAATTGTCCCCTCCAGCCCCCACCCCCACCTCCCCCCTCCCTTTTAGTCAGTTATAAGAGGACGAAGCACTGAACTAACTTTGCATTTCTAGAGGCAATAAGGAAATATAGTTAATATACTGTAAAGTTCTCGTGTTGCAAATTTATTAAATAAAACTGAGAAACTGCCAATGTCTTATTATTATCCCACTAGATAAAATCTTGTTTGCTTGGGTAAATGTTATTAAATTACAATGCTTTTTTTTTACATAGTTTTTAACCAATAGACCTTCTGTTTTCCTTAGTTTTAAACTTTTAGTTCTTTTGTCATTTTATTTAGTGGACTTCTGAAGAATACTGTGGAAAGCTGAATTTGGATGACATTTCATGTAAGAAATGAAAGCATTATCAATAAGAGCCAGAGATGAATGTCTACTCTACCTGAGAGGAAATAGGTAAGGCAGTGAAAATTCATGGTTTCACCATCAATCCAAAGGCTAAACTCGGATAACCAAGGCAATAATAATAAGACAGACTCAGAGCCACATCTGAACGTGACAGGGCAGGGGACAATGAGCTCTAGAGAAGGTTGTGCAAATTATTTACACTGGAGCAAGAACTGGTACTAAGATGGAAAGTGCAAATCCTGATCAATGGTTGAGCATTGAGATTATATCAGAAGGGATTAGAAGACAGTGGAACTACCAAAAGTATAATTCAGAGGGCTGAGAAAGGGTTGCTCTGGCAGCTAGAGAAGAGGACGGAAAATAAGACTAAGACAGCATATAAATCTTCAACTCTTTAACCCATCCTGCAGTCAATCTAGGAAGGAATAAAGGGAAGGGGTGAAGAATGTTTTGAGTGCTAGGCGTTTGAAACGTCCAACAAGCTTGTGTACGAGATCAAACTGAAAACAAGTGGTTTTTATGGCCCAACATGCTAGTGGACTGTGAGCAAGGTAATGTTTATGAAAGGATTTGGGGAATCAGTCAGCTGGCCTTAGAATCCTTGAGGTAAGTAGTACAGTCCCTGCACTCTTAAAGGAAGGGGAAGAATGCCACAGTTCAGAGTCATCTAAACTGTGATGTCAATGCACTTCTGACAAGGCAGCAATTGATTGAATGACACTGAAAAGGGAGGTCTGTGTATCAAAAAAATAATCCGAGTGCAGATGAACCAAAGCAGACCGCAAATGGTCAACTTAATGGAATTTAGCCACAAAAAAAGCAAAGTAATAAAATGGGAACAATGGAGATTTTAGAATACACCACCTAAGGAAAAAAATTATTCACAAGTATTCTGGTTAAAAAAAAAAAAAAAAAAAAAAAAAAAAAGACCTAGGAATAACTAATATCTAGCACTAGTCCCTTGAAGTACTGACAGAATAGCATCAGCAACACATGCTAAGCTCATAAATTGCATTCAGGAACCTATGTAAAGATGATCAAGACCCTTTCATGTATGAGACCAATTCTTGAATATGCAACGCCAGAGTGGAGTCCTCACCTGATCAAACATGGTCCAAGGAATCGTATCCAGACTAGTGCCCCAACTGGAGGAGAATGAACTGTGAAGAAAGAATGAGAGTTAGATCTCTCAAAGAATGCACAAAGAAAAGAGCAAGACAAAATACTCTAGGGCATAGTAGACAAGGAAAGGCATTTTACCAAAGTGAACAACTACCACATATGATATGAACAAACTATACACCCCAGTGAACACAAGGTATAAAAGTATTGAAATGTAATGATTAGAGAATAGTGAAACCCATACAAGGTTTAAAATCAGACGTGATGAAGCCTATGTCAACCCATACAAGGTTTAAAATTAGACGTGATGAAGCCTATGTCAGTTAGTTGAAAGTCATGAGGCAAAGCTAAGAGCTAGATCTCATGACCTGCAAATTCAAACAGATAATAAGAGAAACAACATGAATGGTTGTTATAGACAACTATTATATTTTATACAATTACTTGCAGAATCTATGAGGCAAATATGTAATTAAGCAAGAAAATTATCCATTCAACCTCCCAACTTGTGACGCTGTTAATAAACCATACCACAGGTGAGGACTGAACTCGTGGAGAGTGAGTTGTAAAACTACAGGCCAATGTGTAAGCCCATGGTATGGTTTGTTTGCAATCATGTCATTATGATTTCATAATTCACACTGTTAATAACTTTTGGCTTAATATTAAATTTCCACAGTTTTTAACAGCCTTCATACTTCATCAAATTTTGGCCAGTGAGCTGTTATCCATGTAACCCAGTCCACGTGTTCTAAAAAATCAATTAAGTCACACACTCCAGAAAATACATGTTCTAACCAGATTCATTTCATAATAATTTAAGATTGTAAAATTTGCTGCCTGTGTCATCATTTGTGGTTGTCTCAGACTCCCTTAGTGCTTTACAGGCTATACAGAAATTTGATACACCTCGCCCCTTAGTCCTCCGTATCCAACTTTGGCTACGCTGCATCTTTACCAAGCATAAAGATATTGTTTTTTGTTGGGTCCTTGGTCATGTTGACGTACAGGGCAATGAACAGGCAGACACTGCTGCACGGTCAGCAGTACATGACCTACCAGTTTCATATAGAGGTATTCCATTTACGGACTATTTTGCTGCAATATCTTCCCACCTTCACACCCGTTGGCAACAACGTTGGTCTGTTGTGCTCGGCAACAAACTTCAATCTATTAAACCGAGTATAGGTTACTGGCCGTCTTATCACCAGTGTCGAGGTTGGGAGACTACTCTCTCCCGTCTTCGCATTGGCCATACTCGTCTTACTCATGGATATCTCATGGAGAGGCACCCTGCTCCTCTGTGAGAATTGCCAAGCTCCATTATCAGTCAGCCACATTCTGTTGGACTGCCCACTTTATCAACGAGCACGCAGAATTTACCTCCGTCGTCGTCTTCGCCCCGCTGCTCTCTTTACCTTCCCTTCTCGCTGATGGACCCACCTTTCATCCGGACTCTCTCATTGACTTTTTGACAACAACTGACTGACTTCACAAATTCTGATACCTTCAGCCCTTTCTACTTCAATCTCTTGCTACCCTCTACCCCCCATACTATCCCCTGCCCCGCTGTTTTCTGTAACCTACTGATCATCCCTCCTCCCTTCTGCCACCCAATACCCTCGCTTCCTTCCCTACCCTGCAGCGCTGTATAGCCCTTGTGGCTTAGCGCTTCTTTTTTATTATAATAATAATGTAAAATTTGCTATACAGCTTCTGGTAAAAACACTGACCTGATAAAACTGTAAACCATGCATAAGGATCTGCAAGAAAATTGCTTTATAAGTATAATTAGATTTTATTTAAAAGAATTACTTCATAGTTACAAAATTACACTAAAAAATAACTTCTATTTCTAAATTTTAAAAAGCAGTCTAAATTCTAGCATGAACAACTGCCAATAGGAAAATCAAGATAAAAAACAATAGAAAGATTCTTTTTAACCTAGAATACAAATTTTGTGAAATATAGAAATAAAAGTATATTTAAAAGTAATAAGTATATGTTGCCAACATCAAGTAACTATAAAGACTATTGAGCATTAAAATTACTTTTGGCATTTTACAAATTTAAAATTCTGGCAAGTTAAGAGAAAAATAAAACCAACTTAACTTTCTTAATATAAAAACAAAATATCTACAAGATCCATTACAAAAAATTATATATACAAAGAAATTCTACATGTTAGTTATGCTTTTATTGTTTTAAAAATTAAACTAATCAGTGGTTATGTAATTAAGCATTAAAGTCTGCTTCACCTTAACTTTTAGGTACGTATCTCCTATACCAGCAACGAGTAGAACAGGAAGTCTTAAAGATACTCTACACAGCACCTGTGAAGAAAACTCTTAGCAGCTCTTTGTAAAATCTGAAGATACTCTCACTCGGGTGGGCTAAGAATACCCCCAAATACCTACACTTAAAACCTAGATCTCTTATTTAAGCCAAACTGTCGAGACGCTGCGTGGCCCTGAATGCCAACAGCACATCGATCCTGGATTGTTGAAACGTCTACTTTTGGTGTGCCACCCGAAGATCGCTTACGGGAGGGAACAGCAAGTGGGTCGCACTGTCTCAGAATTTCCACATCTTGAAACACAACTTGTGAGCCACCTCCAACAGTTGGAAGCACATCACCCTGACAAATAAATTATACATTATATAGAAAATATAGATACAGCACTATACTGTATATAAAATTAAGACCAACAAAAAACAGGTTCTTCAAGATACATATTTAAAAATATTAGAAAAAATGAGTATCAAATTATCTACACTGACAAACATTCATAAAAAAAGATGGAGAAAATGAAGAATAGGAGAATGCAAGGACAACACTGGACTTGGGCATGAAAGATCCAACCAGTGACATCTTGCTAAATAGAAAGTATTGGTTGCCATTTTTTTAAACATACTAGCTGTCTCCCAATGAGGTTGGGTGACCCAAAAACAAAACACTTTCACCATCACTCACTCAACTGTTCACACATGCCTGCTGACTACCCAAGCCCATTGTATACAAAACCTCTTGAACCCCTTTCCCTTCAACCTTTTCCAGGGTGACTCCTACCCCTCCTCCTTTCCATTACAAATTATACACCCTCCATTTTGCTCTATCCTCTCTAAATGTCCAAACCACCTCCACATCCCCTCAATATCCTCAGCTCTCTGGATAATACTTTCGTAATCCTGTACCCCCTATCTTCAAAACTACGAATTCTCTGCATAATATTCACACTACACGTTGCCCTCAAGCATGACATCTTCACTGCCTGCTACCTCCTCCTTGCTGCAATATTTAAAACTCATGCTTCACACCCACATAGGAGTGTTGGTATCACTATAGTCTGATACATTCCCATCTCTCATACATATCTTAATCGGAGCCTCACTATCCTCATAAAAACTGCTTTAAGTAACCTACAACCTATTCCATATATTTGCAACATCTGCCACATTGCTTCCCTATCCACCCTATCATATGCTGCCAATATTTAAACATTTCAAGCATTTGAAAGAGGTTTACTCTAATGGAACTTTCATAGCAACAGATAAGCAGGTTGACATACTAGCTGAGAGGACAAAAAGCAATAAACAATTAGGTAAATCAGATGAATGAAAATTAGCAATGCATAAAAATATAAAAAACTGAAGTTTAATAATGTATGAAAAGCTACTCTGAGTCCAGTGAACCACTTATGAATAACCTGTCTAAATACCTCAATCACTAGTATTTTATTTACTCTTCAATCCCTTTTTGCTAAGTCTACCAAATTTTCATCATGCCTTTCTTCTTCTTCATTCTATCATCCATTCCTACTGATGGCTCTGAATGCCAGTTGTAACATCCTGAGGGAGAGCAAACACATGAAAGTGGCAGTCCATGTGGTACACTGACACTTCCACAGAAAAGTCCTCACATTTCAAAATGTTACATCAGGAAATCCTACCATCAGAACCCAAATTTACAGCCCATTCTAGCTGGACTAATAATGCTCATACTCTGATCTCCAAACAGAAGTTTGGTGATGATATCAAACCAATGAGATTCTTCATATTTAAAATTGAACAAGATTTCTTTTTCTGACTACCAGAGAAGAGTAGGAGAACCTTAATATTGCAAACCCTTCATATAACTCCTTCCAGGACAGGTCGCTGAACAACTGGTAACAGGTATCAGGTCAAAGATTTTGAAGAGGATCATTTAAGACCATCTAAGCTAGTCAATATGCCCTTAGTCTCTCTCTCTCACTATCCTATCAAAACTTGTCTTTAGAAAACTTCCAAACCTAGTGACTTAATAGAGATTCCTCTGGTTTCCTGAGAGTGGGTCCTTTGGTCCCAATGCTGTATAGGACCCCTTTGTTTTGGGTTAAAAAAAAAGAAAAGCTCTCTGCTAGGATCAAGACTGGGTCTCCGGGTCAGAAATGCACATGACATCGGCCTTGACAGATATCCTATGCCCGAGTCTTTGCTGGAAAATGCCTAGTTTTGCTGATGAAAGGAAACAAAGAATCTGATGAAATGATTAGAAATCTTTCACTGGGACAGCACTGTATGACACTTGTGGGTTTAGCACTTATGATTGTAATAATAATAATACTAATAATAATAATAATTAAATTGGAGGAGTTTAAAGTTATTACATACTGTGGCCCTTTGATCGGCATTAGTTGATGTAAGTTATAAAATATTAATCATGATGTGCTTTAACTAATGATGACAAATGAAGTTCTTCTACCATATAAAGCAATTCCATAATCATGTTTAAAACATCTCCTGCAACAGACTGCAGTAATGTCTCTTGCTTCATCAAACAAAATTATTAGCCGAGATACCGATTAACATTCTCAGCGATGGCAGGATAACATACTTTATGCAACAATGTAGAGTACTTGCTTTTTTTTCAGCATCCCCTAGATTAAGCCTTAACAACTTAAGACTATATCCTCATGATGCAAGAATACAGGTAGTGATGCACGAGTAGATTTGGTTATTCTCTGAGGACTTGTGAGGGACTATGCCGATGATAATATTCTTTAAGGCACTTGTGCTCTTATTGAGTGTGCCTCTGTGTTCACCTCTTTCAGGGTTGGGAAAATAGCAACTCTAGAAAATAAAATTCTTTCACTGCCCTCACAGTCAATATGCAGCACAGTATACAAAACAATAATGGTGCCACAAGCACACTGTTAATGTGTGTAAACATCAGGGAACCATGACTTTTCAACCTTTCACCAGTATATACAGTACAGGAAATATAGCAGAAATAAAGGTACAAGTTTTCAAGAGGAAACTTGTCATGCTGAATCTGTTAGGTTGGAAGGCTGGCAAGCCATAAGCAACAATAGTCTGGCTGCTCATGAAGTCACCAGAGAAGCATGGCTTCAAGCTGGGCTGTGATTTGTAGAAGTCAAAGCTAAATTAATCACAGCTACCAGTAAACTTACCTATCAAACATATTAACTTTCTATACAAGAACGTCAAGAGGGTTTTGCATGCATATGAACAAACTTTTAAGCTCTACATTGGCATGCACATTTTACTACCCAAGTCTACTACCTTATACAACTTTGTTTCAAGTTCCCCCTCAGAATCCTGCTGCTGACTTGTCAAGCAATACCGTGAGACACGACCTTCTGTTAAATCGCCACTACGTAGACAAGTGACCGATTTTCGTCTTGGCAATGCTGGCTGAAGTACTGTTCCAGTCGGTACCTCCTGTTATTGTATCACAGTAAAATAAGCAATCTATTCAACCGACAAATAAAAACTTACTGCTCCATTATCTGCTTATGCGCTAATCAACCTCTTCTCTATACTCTCTCTCATTTTGCCATTTTAATTATTCATCTAGCTACCAATCAGGTACCAATCATATGTAGCTTACCTCTTGCAATCTTATCAACTATTACATGTTCTATAAATACACAATAGAATGAATAACTAAAGTGCAATGAACACTTGTCAGTGCTCAATAATAACTCACTTGGAGACACAAACTCAGGAGTTTAATTGATCTGTATATTTCAACCCCCTTGTGGGATCCTCTTCAGCAGAAGAGGATCCCAGAAGGGGGTCAAAATATGCAGATCAATTAATCTCCCAAGTTTCTGTCTGCATGTGGGTTATTATTGAACAAAGAATGCTTACTATCAGCCACTTTTTTTTTAAATTTGGCATCTCCCAATGATGTTGGGTGACACAGGAAACACATTTACCATCTTCCAATCGATAACTGTCTTTCTAGATTTTTTTTAAACACACCAGCCATCTTCCACCAAGGCAAAACTATCTACATATTTTCATAGACGAGCGATTATTTGTACCAAACAGGCAAGAGCAAGCTTTAGAATGGCCTAGCCAAAATCAGACATAGCCAGCTAAGAAAGGTTTATTAACCCTTTGGGGGTCGACAGGTCCTCTCAGAGACTTGTTCTCAGGGTTGGCCAAATTTCAAAAAAAAAAAAAAAAAAAAAAAATTATTTTTTCTTATGAAAAGATAGAGAATTTTTTCCTGATCATAATGACACCAAAAGTATGAAATATGATGGAATACTTACGGAATTATGTTCTCGCGAAGTTAGCGGTCTCGACGATGTTTACGCATCGGCGATTTTGCCCACTTTGAGCCCTATTTTCGGCCAATTCCAGTGTACTAGTTGACAAAAATCATAACTATTTCGCTAGAACTCCATTTTTTCTATCGAATGAGTACAAGAAACCACCCATTTACCGATTTCAACTATCCAATACAGTGGTCAGAATTTAGCAATTTTGCCAATTTCACACAAATTTCAAAAGATGCCAATTTCCGAACAGGGTCCAGAATAAACAAGAAAGACATTCCTGGCACTAAAATAACAAGTGCTCTGTTCGTTAGTCACATCCCCAGGCCCCTCTTATATTTCTTTGGCTTTCCACTTTGAATTTTTATTCTTACAAAAAAAATAAGATTTACTGTTATGCAGACTACTGCATTAGTGTAGAAATGGTATAAATAATATCAGCGCACTTGTGAAAGAATATTAGACTCACCAGTTGACGTGTATTGGACGCTTGGCATGATTTGTTTACTTTTGAACTTCGGTAAAAATCGAACATTTCTGCTACTTTGAGCTCAATTTCAAGGTACTTTTCATTGTAAAACCAGTCAAAATCATCTCAATTTCTGTAAAATGTCTTCCATTCTATAAAATGAGACCAAGAAAACTAGAATACAACAATAAATACCATACGAAAATACAGTGCAAAGTCGCTGTTTTAATCCAAAAACACGGTCAAAGTTTTATTTTTTCTCATTACGCACTGTGTGCTGCAGGATTTTTTTTATACTGCGCACACTAACCACATAGACCCATTCTTACATATGTAGGCCTACCAGCTTTCTCTCACTAGAGTTGAGGGCGCTAAAATTTAGGCGTACTAGTACGTCAAAAACCCTGGGTCGTAAGATGTACTAGTACGTCCAAACCCCCCAAAGGGTTAAACTGCTACTGTAGATATTCAATCAATTTGTTTGTATGTACTTTACAAAAGAAGCTCACTGTTGAGCAAAACATCAAAATTCAAGTTTGTCGTGCACCTGTGAGATTTAAGGTGTTGCAAAACTTTTACTATCTAAACCTTTATAACGTTTTATCCTGTTCCACCAAACTATCTCTGTTCATGGGGTACTCTTACTGAAGCAATATTATTATATATTTTTTATTAACACATCAGCCATTTCCCACCAAGGCAGGGTGACCCAAAAAAGAAGAAACATTTTCATCATCATTCACTCCATCAGTATAGCCAGAGGCGTGCCTACACTACAGTTATTAAAACTTTAACTTATCAACACTCCCTCCTGTACTTCCCACCAGGACTCAAATCCGGCCCGCTGGTTTCCCTGAATTCCTTCATAAATGTTACCTTGCTCACACTCCAACAGCTATATTATTTAATGCTATTAATCATGAAGATTATTTAGGTGAAAGGATAATTCAATGTGCTGTTGTTTCTGTTTGATAACTATCCAATGTGCTGTTGTTTCTGTTTGATAACTCAAAGGTAAATTTCTAGTTCATTAATATGACAATCAGCATTACATAATCACACTGTAAAAAAGCTGGTTTAAATATATAATGATGATAATGTGTACAGGTAAATAAATATACTGCAACAGTGTATATAAAAAGCAGGTACAATTTATTGCAGCACAGTGTGTAATGAGAAAAAAACTTTGACCGTGTTTTTGGATTAAAACAGCGACTTTGCACTGTATTTTCATATGGTATTTATTGTTGTATTCTAGTTTTCCTGGTCTCATTTTATAGAATGGAAGACATATTACAGAAATTGAGATGATTTTGACTGGTTTTACAATGAAAAGTACCTTGAAATTGAGCTCGAAGTAGCAGAAATGTTCGATTTTAACCAAAATTCAAAAGTAAACAAATCATGCCAAGCATCCAATACACATCAACTGGTGAGTCTAATATTCTTTCACAAGTGCGCCGATATTATTTACACCATTTCTACACTAATGCAGTAGTCTGCATAACAGTAAATCTTCTATTTTTGTGAGAATAAAAATTCAAAGTGGAAAGCAAAAGAATGTAAGAGGGGCGTGGGGACGTGGCTAATGAACAGAGGAAATGTTATTTTAGTGCCAGGAATGTCTTTCTTGTTTATTCTGGACCCTATTTGGAAATTGGCATCTTTTGAAATTTGTGTGAAATTGGCAAAATTGCTAAATTCTGACCACTGTATTGGATAGTTGAAATCGGTAAATGGGTGGTTTCTTGTACTCATTCGATAGAAAAAAATGGAGTTCTAGTGAAATAGTTATGATTTTTGTCAACTAGTACACTGGAATTGGCCGAAAATAGGGCTCAAAGTGGGCAAAATCGCCGATGCGTAAACATCGTCGAGACCACTAACTTCGCGAGAGCATAATTCCGTAAGTTTTCCATCAAATTTCATACTTTTGGTGTCATTATGATCAGGAAAAGATTCTCTATCTTTTCATAAGAAAAAAAATTTTTTTTTTTTTCTTTAAATTTGGGCGACCCTGAGAACAAGTCTGGGAGAGGGCCTGGGGACCCTGAAAGGGTTAAGAATAAAAAAAAAGGGAAGGGGCCTCAAGTATCAAGGTTAACACTGGCTGATCATGAAGTCACCAGAGAAGCATGGCTTCAAGCTGGGTTGTGATTTGTAGCATTCTTGAGATAGTCCCCTGTGATATTCAGTAGCCTCTTAACCAACCTTAGCTGTTAGGATATATATACAGTGGACCCTCGAATTTAGTAGTGCCTTTTCTGTATGCAAAACTATTTTTATTATCTATAAAATGCATGTTTTGTTAATATTTCCCATAGGAAATAATGTAAATCCAATTAAACCATTCCAGACACCCAAAAATATTAAACAATACATTTTATAGATAAAAATAGTTTTGCATACAGAAAAGGCACTACTAAATTTGAGGGTCCACTGTATATATACATATATTTTTTTTTTTTTAAAGAAACAAAGTATGTACCTGCACAGGCCGATGATCAAGCCATTTTTCAGCACCTTGAGATCTTGACCTCCTGTGACGTAAGTTTACAACTCCAGAACTCTGAAATAATTGTGAAAGGTTTATCATATTTGGTAGAAAGCATCTTACTAAATATAAAGGATACAAGTATTGTTGAATAAGTACAGAATACTGTAGAGATTTTTCTACAATGTAGTTTCAGCTTCACAAATAATTGATACCATCTTCCACATCATTAACACAAAGTGTTATTCATAAAAGCTTGTATATTAATTTCCTCTGCAAAGACAGTGATTATATGTGAATGATGGTGGAAGTGATGAATGATGGTGAATGTTTCTTTTCTGGATCACCCTGCCTTGGTGGGAGACAACCACAATGGTTTTGTGGGCTAGGGGCTTGGATTTCCAGCAAGCGTGCATGAGCGTGTTAGATAGGAGTGAATGGAGGCGAATGATACTTGGGACCTGACGATCTGTTGGAGTGTGAGCAGAGTAATATTTAGTGAAGGGATTCAGGGAAACCGGTTATGTTCATATAGTCGGACTTGAGCCCTGGAAATGGGAAGTACAATGCCTGCACTTTAAAGGAGGGGTTTGGAATACTGGCAGTTTGGAGGGATATGTTGTGTATCTTTATACGTTTGTAGATGAATGGTTCAGAGAACCTACTTCCACATTGAACAAATGTGACACCACCTATGACTGCTGCACCTCTCCTGCCATACGGTTTATAAGCTGCTTCTCTGCTCATATGCCGTATTCTATTCAAGATTGATGGACTGAACACACCGACTCAAGGTTGAGGGACTGATTACCTCGTTCTCCTCCTGTTATTCCAGTTTCTCCTACGTATGGACTGATGAAGCCACTGTGTGGCGAAACGTTTCCTCAATAAAGGTACCCAAGAGTTGCACATGTGTCTAATATATCAACATCTTTATACATATATGCTTCTAAGCTGTTGTATTCTGAGCACCTCTGCAAAAGCAGTGATAATGTGTGAGTGTGGTGAAAGTGTTGAATGATGATGAAAGTATTTTCTTTTTGGGGATTTTCTTTCTTTTTTGGGTCACCCTGCCTCGGTGGGAGACAGCCGACTTGTTGAAAAAAAAAAAAAAATCTCTCTGTCTTATTTGGGATCAATCTTGAATATGAAAACTTTGATGTAAAAATCAGGGGACATTCCCCCCCTCTCCAACTTCAATTACACTTTCGGAAAACTGTTAACAATAGAGGGTACGCTGTTATCATGCACTCTTATTCATAAAATATACAAGCCATATTCTAAATAATCATTATTTAAACAAATTGCAAAGCACACAATTAAGGATATAAACAGCAAGAACTAATGTTGCAAATCCTCTGCTAATTTATCATGCTACAAAAAATCTGTAGGTAGTTTTAAATTTGTAACTACATAATTAAAGAAAGCTGAGACAAGAGGAGCCTAGGTGAGTACAGCAATTACTTGTGCAGCACTGATTTTTAAGTTCTAACATGCGTGTGTCTGCAGTTTTTTACCACTAAGGTAGAAAGACCCTAAAATCTGTACAAAATTAAAAAAAAAAATCAAAATATTCCATTACTAAAAAACAGATTAAAATGTATTGTACAATAATTATTTTTTTCAACACAGCGACCAACTCCCACCAAGGCAGGGTGACCCGAAAAAGAAAAAAATAATAAATAAATGTTTTACAAATTATATTTAGAGGAAAGCACTAGACTTTTAAGTTTTCAACCAAGGGGAAAGGGGGGTAGCTCCAATTAACTGGATCAAGTCCTTTACCAGCATCAAGACATCTTCCCTTTCTTGAAGGGACTTTCATACATCATTGTGCTACCAATTTGCTAACATAGCTTAACATATTACAAGTCCTACTACTGAGGACAACACCTGCCTGCTACTCTCAAGAACATCACAAAAGCTATGTAAATATGTCAACTGACTTATCTATGCACACAAATCTGAAGTCAGTGTCTTTACACAAAAAAATATGAGAGTTTTCCTAATACAGTATACTGGTTTTAAATTACTCACAAAAATATCAGATGTGTGGATGGCATTACTAGCTTCCAACTTTGGATCAGAATTTGATTTATTCTGGCTTCTGGTTGTTGGACGTATCTGGGAGATATCAGAATCCGACACAGACGGGCAGCTGACTTGAGTACTAGGATTACCATCTAAAAGGATTTCTTGCAGAGCCCGTACTTGTGTCTGGTATATTCTAGACTGTAAATTTCAATATTATATGAGTAATAAAGTAAATTAAGAGAAAGACTGATATTTTCTTGGGGAAAGAGATAAACTTGTAGGGGTCACACATGACTAGAATATATGCAAGTACTGCATACATTTCTTCTGTCAATTCATGCAGTCCTAGCATATGCATGCACTCTTTGTTCTATAAATACATATATACATACTCAAGCCTCCTTATCTACAGTACATCTAAATTTTTAAAATTCAAAGCACTTTCAAAATTCAATACTAACTTTAAAACATTTATTTGTGTCTTTCATATGTGAAACTTCAAAAAAAAAAAAAAAAATTACATCTTTTTTGTAGTCTTTATATGCTTCTCTAGAATTCATTATACATACCATCTATATACCAATCTCTGCAAGTATATACATACTTGCAGAGAAAATATAAAAAAAATCTTCCTTATATCTATAGTTATTTTAGTCCTATCAGTTATTCATAACCCTACCCTCTGAGCTTCACAAAATAAATGTTTATGACTTTTAAATGCTCAAGCTTCTGCCTTTAAGAAAAAAAAATCCTTTCAATTCTTCCTCAGTGTCCTTTACATCACCATCCTTCCCAGATTTATATACCATAATCAACATAGTTTATATTGCTAAATGTAAAAAGAAAACTTAATGAAAGTATTTCTTCTTTTTCAGGTCACCCTACCTTAGTGGAAGACAGCAGGTGTGTTTCATACACAAAAAAAAAAAATGTTTTTCCATTTTTTGTGACCAAACTATCTGCATTCCTTTGACCCTGATTTTTTTTATGTTAATACATCAGCTATCTTCCACTGTGGCAGGGCAACACGAAAAAATGGAAGCACTGTCACTCATGCAGTCACTGTCGTGCCAGAAGTGAGAAGACATCACAGTTCAGATGCCCCTCCAAACTGCAATATTCTCACTCCTCCTACAGAGTGCAGGCTCTGTACTTCCCACATCCAGGATTCAAGTCTGGCTAACCAGCTTTCCTGAATATCTACAAAAATGTTATCTTGCTCGAACTTGAACAGCATGCTTCCAATCAATCCTAAGGCACTCACAAGTCTGTTAGATGCCCAAGCTCCTGGCATTCAAGACTTCCTTTACCCCCTGCCCTCAACCCTTTCCTTTGATAACCCTGACCCCTCCTTCCATCCACCCCAACCTGATAACACTAGATAGGAAATAGTACTCAAAACATAACTCATCACAAGAAAAATTCATTAATCCCCTCCTGACCACCTGCTCTCATTCTAGTCAATGTAATATATCAAAGGCAATTTAATTACATACCACATTTCCTCACACACACTCTAAATCTAAAATCTGAATTTGAGCTTACTTTGAATTAGAATAGTTACTGGTTGCCCCATGAACAGTAAAACCTCTCATTAACAAATTTCAGCAATCTCAGACAAAAAAAAAAATGCCCAAACATTGGAAGTTATTTTTTTAACATGCCAGCTGTCTCCCACCAAGGCAGGTGACCCAAAAAAAAAAGAAACACTCACCATCAGGCAAAAATGAGCAAAAGTCCATAACTCTAGATTTTGTTCATAGTGAAAGTGGCCAGTTGTCTTCCGGATAATCGGACCAAGTCCAATGACTCAGACATTTGTCCAGTACAGGCCACAGCAGCCACATTAGGGAGCATTGAAATTTTGGTCAAAGCTGCACTCTTCAGGCATTGTTCCTTATATACATCTTAGATTCAGTGCCAAATATGAAGGTGATTGGTTGAGGTTTAGCCTACAGCATTTGCATTTGAAATTTTTTAATAAGTCTGTATTACTGAGTAGCATAGCCCAGTGTTTTATGTATTGTATCTATGTACTCTGCAGTATTTATAAACATTAACTAACTTTCTCAGTGATTATGCTGGAGTTGCCACTGCTACCACCACCTTAATGGACTATGGCAATATCACCAAGAACGACAAAAGTCAGGTTATTGAACCACAGAAGTAAAAAGATGCCAGACACAAATAGCAAATGTAGAGGCAAGAAAATAAGCTAGCAAACTTGGAAAATATCACATCACTGTATTTTGATGGTAAGAAGACTTCCACTCATGTAATGACAAAGAATAAGAAAACCAAGAAATGGAGTCCAAAGATAGTGGTGAAAGATCATTATGTCATCATGGTGGAGCCTGGCACTGAATATCTCACTCATGTGACTCCCAAGTCAGGCCATGGAAAGGAGATTGCCAAGACTATCTATACATTTCTGGTGGAACAGAAACTAACTCGGCAGCCTGTTGTATGTGTTGATAGTAAATGCCAGAGCTGACAATGGAGCCATTCATCATCTTGAAATACTGCTTAGTCATCCGGTCCACTGTTTCATCTGTCAACTTCATGGAAATGAGCTGCCATTCCAGGCTGCTTTCAAGCACTATGACAGTAAGCCAAGTGGTCCTGAGCATTGGAGAGGTTCCACTGGCAAGTAAATCAAGGATCCTCTGTCTGAGTTGCCAGTTGTTGTTTTCCAGCCAGTCGATTTCACTGATTTCCCTGCTCTGAACGACAAGGTGGCAGAGGATCTGTCCTAGGACCAGAAATACTTGTATAGGATTTGCAAAGGAGTGATGACAGGTGTGGTTGATGATAACTTGGCTGCTCTTGAACCAGGTCCACTGTGTGTGTCAAGGTGGGATACTTTATGGAGTAAGATATTTAGGCTGTATGTGGCAATATCAAGACCCAGTCAGGAGCTGAAAAGAGTTATCATTATGACTTTGAAGTTCAGTGCTCCAATGTGGTTCCACATCAAGCTGCACCCTTATGTCAGACACAGTCCAAAGAACATCTTCCAGTTACTGCAATTTATGAGACATCTGAACAGTGAAGAAAAGAAGATAGTAAAGAAGACTGTCCAAAGAAATTCCTACTTTGCTCACACAGATCAGCTGTGCACTGATGAAGACATGACTATGAGAGACAAAGCTGTCTCAATGATAAGAAAAATTAGAGAAGAGAATCAACAGACAGACAGTACTGAGAGCTCTGATGAGGATGGAGATTCTGCTGATGCTGTTGACGAGGACTTGTTAATGTACACTGATGATGAGGATGACAGTGAAGATGAAGAAAATGACAATGTGGCTCCTATTGTCAACTCAAGAAAAGTAGTGATTCCCAAACTAAAGTGGCAAGCAAAGAACTATGATTTCATGATTGACTGGAAGACTGAACTCAAAACTCAGCCTCCTTTCATTGCTTCTCTATCAAATCAACAGGTTCTGAAAATTACTGAGACTACTGGAGGTGCCCAAGTGGCCAAACAACACTCAAGCTGTTGAGAGAGGGATAAAATTGATAACTGAAGCTTGTACTGAAGTGACTGGACAGAAGGCAAGAGATGGATATACCAGGCAAAGAATATTTTCCAGGAAAGTGATGCCCAAGTTTTGCACCAAGAAAGACTTCACTTATAACTTGTAATAGCTTAAAATTATTATCCTGACAACCAATAATTTATAACTAATTGCTTTCAATGGTGTATAATTTGACGAAAAGTCAGTCGCGATGCTGTAGGGTAAATGGGCATGAAATGGTCTGAAATTTTGCACAGAAGCTTGTTGTGACCATACAAATAATGCCAAAAAAGTGCAGCTTGCATCTCTAAAATTTGCATTTTTTCAATGCTCCCTAGGCCACATCCAAAACCTGTATGTTTTCATTGTTGCCTAAGCCATAGGCTGCCCATGCCAGTTTATTATTTGTGCATATTCATGCATACACTCCTCATTCAATCTCTAATTTTCCCTGGATTTAGTGTTTTCTTGTGTAACTGTTAATATAAGTAAAGTGCAATCAACAATGGCTTCTAAAGCAAGTGGTGGTGCCAAGAGGAAATGTGTGGTTCTCAGTGTTAAGCAGAAACTTGAATTAATAAAGAAGGTTCAGTATGACATCTCAGTGGCTCGGGTCTGTGAGGAATATGGTGTTAAGAAACAGTGTTTGATATCCACAGAAGCAATAAAAGTTATTCAAAGTCACCATGATCAATCACGGCATTTTACACCTTATCTCTCCACCATGAAAAGGTAAATAAAATTACTGTAAATTACATAAAGAACTCTTATATTGCTGTACAGTAAAGTACATACTGGACTGTAGTACTACAGGTTACAACACTTGTATTCTTAGCACCCCAGTTGTCTCCTGCATTAGCGGACCCACTAGTTCAGAAAACACCCAGATATTCGGGAAAAACTAATTTCATAATTCAGACATTTCGGACAACTGGCAATAGCGTACATCCCCCTTCCCCTATTAGTCCACTAATGAGAGGGTTCATTGCATTAGGGTCTAATATATTCTGTATCTGTGCCAATTTATCCTCATGTATGCAAAAACTTTTTTTAACCACAGAAAAGATACAAGCCTATTTCTCAATAAATTCACTGTACAATAAAATAAACACTTACCTTTTGCTGACTAAGCTTAGCAATCATGCCAGTTTTAAGCTTCTCTCTCTCTTGTTCTAATTTAGTTTTAAGTCGTGCTTTCATCCTTTGCTTCTCTATCTGCCCTTGTGCCTTGGCCATGTCTAGTTCTTCACGCTAATGAATGAAAGATGTATCCAAGGTATCACAGTACACTTAAAAAAACATTCATAAACTAACCCAGTACAAATAAACAGTGTCCACAGCTCTATTTACAAAACACATTCCATCAGAATAATAAAATTAGTGCCAAGTAAAAGGACATAAATGCAACTGTGACATTTTATTGTGGCAATGTTTCGCTCTCCGGAGCTTTGTCCAGCCGTTACAGCTTGACAAAGCTCCTGGAGAGCAAAACGTTGCTACAATAAAATGTCACATTAGTTGCATTTGTGTCCCTTTACTTAACATACTGTCAGTAATTCTACCAACATTAATACAAAATTAGTGCAGTCAAGAAATGATTGGCTTTCCCGACTGACTTCAACTGGGAAAGAAATAGACAAGTAGCCCCCTAACAATACCTACTTTGGTGGAAAGGATTTAAAAAAAACAAAGAGAGAGAGAGTGGGGAGAAGCAAGTTATAATTAGCATTTAGAATTATGTCATGCACCTGTAATGCACATAAATATTACAAACTAATCTGCCTGGTTGACCAGGCAAGCACCAAATAAATTTGGCCCAAGGCCAGGCTCTGGGAGTAGAAAAACTCTTGGAACTCATCAAAGGTACATCAAAGGTAAAGGTATATCCCAATCTATGCTAGCACCATCTCTGCATAATGCCTATGGTGAAGACTGGTCTTGTTTAAGATTTCCCAATTCCTTTAACATTGGCCAGATTTATCACAGTACAAGGGTTCTGATGGATAATAAACATACCTGCCATGGCAGGTGTCAAGGTGGTGATTTACACAGTGATAATATTAATGCTAATATTATACTTAAGGATGGGCCCAGACCATTTCATGTAACTAATTCACCTTCTTAAAAACAAAAATGACCAAACATAAAATCTTATTTTAATGAAGACAGCAAGCTGAGTTTTTTCATTATTTAGAAAGCAATAAAACCCTTTGGTCATTCATTGTAGCATAAAAAGTGGCCATCATTATTATTAATTTACTGCCATCATTACCAACTGTCAGTTATCTTAATCTGTTGTTTTTTTTTTTTTCAACAAGTCGGCCGTCTCTGAGAAATCAATCATGACTGCACTAATACTACTAATCACACTACAAATTTCGATGAAAGGGGAAATGTTTAGGCCAAATAATTTTGCTGGGTACTCGGGCAGCTCAAATCCTGACACCAAGCTAAAATGACGGGTACTAGAAAAGGTTAGCAAGCTTGTGGAACAATTGTATCACTAGATGCTTCACTATTATAAAAACACAAAGCACTCAGTAAAAGTTTTATACATACATATTAGGGAAAATCTAAGCTTGCATATAGGAATTTATGCATGCCCTGTCACTTGCAGCAGCATCAGTAGCACATGCTTGATCAAACAAAGATATGCATCTGGAAACCTAGCTAAAATTCTGTCCAACACACTTTACCTCGTACAAGGTGACGGGAAGAAAACTAACGAACTCGCCAAGTGTCACTTTTGAGAAAAGTCGCCTACAAACTTTTGCAACATGTTTGCAACACTATCTCAGTAACCAAGCATACAATTCTGATCAAAGTGGTCTCATTCCAAAGCAAATTTAATGGCCATTAAGGTGGTATAGCAAGTCTGTCGGTTTTCTTGGGAGCTAAATCACTGTTTTTGGACATGACCACATGATCAAACATCTCTTTATTCACAATGGAAAAGGGCAGAGTAAAAGTGAGAAACTTGCCAATCTGAGTATGTATATGATACTTGAAAGAATGATGAACATTTTGGATTAGAAAGTGTAATTTTCACTCACTGGTTAGTTCATCGATTTTCTTCTCAGCACCTCATATAATACGTATCTCTATCTATGCATGAAAAATACTCTGACCATGTGCCTAACCTGTACACTAAAATAATGTACTGGAGATATATGGAAAGAAATGCAGAATAGACTCAATGTAAAGTATGGCTGCCATAAACAGAATTAGACAACACTGCCAACACCCGAAGTCCATGACATTTCGACTTTTTACCAGCAGATGTGAGAAATATACTTGACACAAGTACAGAAATCTTGAGAGGTAACAGAAAGGTTTTCATATGCAGTGCCTGATTAGTCAGGCTGTGATAGCTATGCTGGCCAGCATGCTGCAGGTGACAATAATCTAGATCATCAGGCTGTCACTCAGGAATTCTAGCCACAGGCCAGGCTGCAGGTGAGTAATAATCCTCAAAAATTGGTCACATGTATTGCATCTGGTCTCCCAAAGGCAGTGGTGGTTTATGCACTACAAATATGGAAAGGCCCAGCAAAGATATCAAGTGACGAGGAGCCTTCTACTGTAGTTTGCATATTACCAGAAAGTAAATTACTATAGCAAATAATGAGATCACCTGCACCACAAATAGGTTAAAAATAATTTACATCAGAATAATTTAAAAAGATAATGAAGAAGTTTAAATAAATTGATAAAATTCTTTCCTGTAACAATAATTTGCAGTTGGCCATTATTGGTTACTTAAAATTTAAAATCTTATTTAAAAATATTTTAATCTCAACAGGCTATCTTCCCAAATATTCACTGTACCAAAAGAAGGCAGATTTAGACCAAAGAAACATGAACAAAAATTACATAAATGGGAAATAAACAGCAGCGACCCTCAAACCTCTAAAACTCCCATTAAATGCAAAGCCAGGATCAATAGTAGATGCTGAATCTTTTCTTGATGTATATAATACCCACAGACAATTGATTCTGAAAACTTTTAACCCTCTGACTGTTTTGGCCATATACACGTCTTACGAGCCAGTGTTTCGGACACATACATGTATATACTCAATAATTCTAGCAGCTTAAAATCAAGCAGGAGAAAGCTGGTAGGCCCACATGTGAGAGAATGGGTCTGTGTAGTTAGCGTGCACTGTATAAAAAAAAATCCTGCAGCATGCAGTGCATCATGAGAGAAAAAAAACTCCGACCATGTTATTTGATTAAAACGCCGACTTTGAGGTGTATTTTCCTATAGTATTTATGGTTGTATTCTCATTTTCTTGGTCTCATTTGATAAGAATGGAAAACATATTACAGAAATAGAGATGATTTTGATGAGTTTCACGATGAAAATGACTCTGAAATCGAGTTCAAAGTAGCGGAAATGTTCAATTTTTACCAATGCTCAAGAGTAAGCAAATCACACCACACGTCCAATACACGTCAATTGGGAAGTCTAATATTCTTTCACTAGTGCACTGATATTATTTATACCAATTCTACAATAATGCACTACTCTGCATAACAGTAAATCTTCTATTTTTTGTGTGAATAAAAAATCAAAATAGAAAGCAAGAGTAATATAAGAGGGGCCTGGAGACATGACTAATGAACAGAGGATATGTTATTTTAGTGCCAAGAATGTCTGCATTGCTTATTCTGGGCCGTATTTTGAAAATGGCATATTTTTTAATTTGCATGAAATTGGCCAAATTGCCAATTTCTGACCACTTTATTGGGTAGTTGAAATCAGTAAATGGTCGGTTTCTTGTACTCAACTGATAGAGAAAATAGAGTTCTAAAGAAATAGCTATGAGTTTGGTCAACTGGAACAATGGAATTGGCAGAAAATAGGGCTCAAAGTCGGCGAAATCGCCGATGCGTATATATCGCCGAGATCGCTAACTTCGCGGGAACGTAATTCCGTAAGTTTTCGATCAAATTTCGTACTTTTGGTGTCATTACCATCGGGAAAAGATTCTCTATCATTTCATAAGAAAAAAAAAAAATTCCAAAAAAATTTTCAACACCAGGAGACACTTCAGGATATGGGGTTGCGACAGTCAAAGGGTTAAGTAACAATTTACTATTTTGTATATTAACAATACATTACTAAATAATGATTTTGTAACAAGATTTTGGCCACTCACCACAGCATTACATTCATCCACGAGATAATTATAATCATTGAATTTCCTTTGTAAACTTTCATTTACAGATTCAGCATTAAGCAGCATCGACTCCATGCTCCGGACTTTCGCCATGGCATCACTATACTGGGAACGCAGATCGCTGATCTCCTTTTTCATTAAGATATTTTCTTTCTCCATTTCCATTACACTTGAACGCACCACAAATACTGTGATATAAAAGTAATGGTGGTAACATTTACAGAGCACTTTGACCACATAGGTCACTTCTGTGAAATAAAGCATAATAGTTATACCATCAATCTGATGTCTAGCCTTGGTGTGAGCAATTTGATACGATAAAAAAATGTGTAGCACTGATAATTAATGAACATTTATGCAAAGAAATGAAAGCTTATAAATTTTTAAATTAGACAATTATGTGATTTAGCTCCATGGGGAAGTGGAGAATAAGCCATGAGTTTCATAAGAGGTGAGTGATATGCCAGGGCTAGTAATCCCATCCGTATAGATTACTAAATGTAAAAATAAAAACTTTCATTTCTTCTTTTTTGGATTGCCCTGCCTCAGTGGGAGACAGTCAGTGTTTTTAAAAAATTCAAATTCAAAGTTTATTCTCTATAAGGATTACAATGCTGAGTTTACAGAAATTTGGTTATTGTTTGGTTTACATGTAGTAAAATTGAGATTACAGAGTGTACCACTAGAACGCTTAGCATGGCTAGGCATTTCGGGCATACTTAGTTTTATTCTTAAATGTAAAATATTACAAATTATGAGGTAAGTTGGTATTATGGCTAAGTGACTAAATACTATTTTGTGAGTTTAGCAATGTGAATGCTTTTGTTTTGGCACAGTATATAGTTTCAGTATTGGAGTATCACAGGATTCATTATTTTAAGACTGAGATTAATATTTCTGTTTATGGTCAAATGAGTGAGCGAGTGTAAGTGTGAACCACCAGGTGGTATTCGTGAAGTTAGTTGACGGGGTGTATCAGGGAGATAAGATGTTTTCTAATGGTAGTTTTGAAGGTGATGAATGTGTCTGCAGTTCTAGAGTTCTCAGGTAGGGTATTCCAGATTTTAGGGCCTTTGACATACATTGAATTTTTGTAAAGGTTTAGTCGGACACGGGGAATGTCGTAGAGATGTTTGTTTCTGGTGTTATGCCTGTGGGTTCTGTCACAACTATCAAGAAAGCGTTTTAGGTCAAGGTTGATATTAGAGTTTAAGGCCCTGTAGATATAGATTGCACAGTAGTAAGTGTGGATGTACTGAAATGGGAGTAAGTTTAGATCTTTGAAGAGTGGGGGGGATATGAGAAGTATATAAATTTATGTTTATTCACCTTGAGGTGGGAGTAGTGTAAGTGAGAGATACTCAGTGGTATGCTAATCCTTAGGGAATTTTCAATCAATAGAAATATTGGCTTCAGGAAACTTTAATGTGAAAGCAGGGAAGGTTTAAGGAAGGTGTATTATAAAAAGTTCACCATTCTTGATATATATCAGTGTGAACCTCAAGAGAATCTCAGGAAAAAAGTTTAAGAATAAGCAACACACTATTATGTGCTCCTTCTGATAAATTAGAGTTCACTGCCTCTTGGCACCTTGCTGTGGATGAAAGTTAAATCCTACAATTTCCTAGTCATTTCCTCATTTAGCAGTGACACTGGAGTCCTAGCTTATGCCAATTATTATCTGGAAAGCCATTTTAAAATGTAATTCTCACAAAATCACTGATCTTTTTCATCAGTTTATGAAAAACAATTTAACACAATGACTGTCTTCTATCAAAGTAAAATAATCCAAAATAGAGGGAACACATTCACCATTATTCACTCCATCTCGGTCCTGCCAGAAGTGTACTGACATCACACAGTTCAGATGACCCTCTGAACTGCAACATACTTGGCCCTCCTTTAGAATGCCGACACTGAAGTTTCTGCCTCGAGGACTCAAGCCTGGCTAACCAGTTTCCTTAAATCCCTTCATGAATTTTACCAATATCGCACTCCAATAACACTTCATCATAAAAACCACTTGTCATCACTCCATTCTAATGCACTTACACAAACCTGCTGAATATTAAAATCCCCCTCCTCCTCTCCACCCCAGATTAACATACCTTCTTTGTCATCCTATTCTGCCTCCATTCCTGAATGCCTAAACCACCTCAACAGTCCTCCAAATTATATTTTTAGTAACCTAACCTCACACGGTCTTTTGATTCTCTGCATAATATTCACACTTCACATTTCCTCAAACATGACATCTCCACTTTCTCCATCCTCCTCCTCCTCCTCCTCCTCACTGCAACATTTAAAACTCATGCTACACACTCATACTACAGTAAGAGTACAATTATACTCTGGTATATTCCCCATTTTGCCTCCAGAGATAAAAACCTTTATTGCCACAGCTGTCACAATGCATCATCCACCTTTTTCCCTTTGTCTATTCTATGGTTCCCTCGTCTTTCATAGACCCCATCTACCTCGGTGGAAGACGGCTAGTGTTAAAAAAAATTACTTTCTCCATACTCTCTCACTCACTCACTCTAACTCACTCACTCTAACTCACTCTCAGTCACTCACTCTCAGTCACTCACTCTCACTCACTCACTCTCACTCACTCACTCTCACTCACTCTCACTCACTCACTCTCACTCACTCTCACTCACTCTCACTCTCACTCACTCTCACTCACTCTCACTCACTCTCACTCACACTCTCACTCACTCACACTCCACTCACCCCAATCTCTCACTCATCACTCACTCACTCACACTACCCTCACATCACCTCCACTCACCACCTCACTCTCTCCTCACTCCTCTCACTCACTCACTCTACACTCACTCACTCTCACTCCTCTCACTCACTCTCACTCCACTCACTCTCACTCACTCACTCCTCACTCATCACTCCACCCTCACTCCACTCATCTCACCACCTCTCACTCTCACACCATCCCTCACTCTCACTCACTCTCACTCACTCACTTCTCTCACTCACTCACTCACTACCACTCACCTCACTCACTCTCTCACCACTCTCACTCACTCCTCTCACTCACTCACTCACTCTCACTCACTCTCATCTCACTCACTCTCACTCACTCACTCCCACTCACTCACTCTCACTCACTCATCTCACATCTCACTCTCACTCCCCTCACTCTCACTCACTCACTCACTCTCACTCCTCACTCACTCTCATCACTCACCTCTCACTCACTCCTCTCACTCACTCCTCACTCTCACTCACTCACTCTCTCACTCACTCACTCACTCTCACTCACTCTCACTCACTCACTCACTCTTCACTCACTCCTCTCACTCACTCTCACTCATCTCTCACTCACTCTCCTCACTCTCATCACTCTCACTCACCTCACTCACTCTCACTCACTCTCACTCATCTCACTCACTCTCACTCACTCTCACTCACTCTCACTCACTCACTCACTCTCACCACTCACTCCCTCACTCACTCTCACTCACTCTCACTCACTCTCACTCACTCTCACTCACCTCTCACTCACTCATCACTCTCTCTCACTCATCTCTACTCACTCTCTCACTCACTCTCTCACTCACTCTCACTCACTCTCTCACTCACTCTCTCACTCTCTCACTCACTCACTCACTCACTCACTCACTCACTCACTCACTCACTCACTCACTCTCTCTCACTCACTCTCTCATTCACTCACTCTCTCATTCACTCACTCTCTCATTCACTCACTCTCTCACTCTCTCACTCTCTCACTCTAATTTTTCACTGCCTACATACTTTTTTTTTTTGCTCTCATCACTATACTCTTTTCTATATTCACTTTTAATTTCCTTCTTTGCAAACCCTCCCAAATTCAGCCAAAAACCAATGGAATTTCTCTTCTATTGGTTCCATGGGATGAAGAGGTAAAATCAACATTATAGCTATAACTTTTTTTTTTTGTTAACATGCTGGACGTCTCCCATCGAGGCAGGGTGACCAAAAAAACTTTCACCATCATTCACACTATCAGTCTTTGCAGACATACAGATATGACAGCTCAGATATAACAGCAAATATCCTAAACCCCTCCTTTAAAGTGTTGGCATTGTACTTCCCACCTCCAGGACTCAAGTTCAGCTAACTGATTTACCTGTATCCCTTTACAAAATACTACCCTGCTCACACTCCAAAAGCTCATCAAGTCCCAAAAACCAACTGTCTCCACTCACTCCTAACACACCCGCACATGCCTGCTGTATGTCCGTGTCCCTTGCACACAAAGCCTCTCTCCATCCTATCTATCATTATTAATGAACTTGAAACAAGTAACACCAGAAGTGTTGCAAAATCTTACTCTTGTCTTGTAGATCAGATTTAAGCTTCTCTCTACTGTTGATCCTCTTCAGCAAATAAGCCTTGAGCTTGGCAACTACATCATCCATGATTTCTGGTGTGTATACAACGGATGGCCATTCAGGAGCTAATGTGTATATGGGAGTCAGATCAACCTCCAGATTCTAAAATTCAGCATAAAAAATAAATATTAAAAATAGTCACATGGTAATTTAACAATATACACCAACATTGTTAATTTAATGATCAAACTCATAATGTATGAACAATGTGGCTGAATTCTAATGTACAAGAGTGAAATAGTGCTGTTAAATTACCTTGACATTTTCACCCTCAGTTTCTAGCCTCCTACGCACGTCCTTGAATAGTTGATTGGCACGCCTTCTTCCAGGAAGCAGTCCCAAGTCTTGCTTCACAGTCTGAGGTCCACGCTGGATGTTAACCTCAGATGCAAGCTCAGCAAACTTCATCACAGGCTATAAAGTTTTATAAAAAGAATTAACACCTTAGTCATTTCTTGCCAAAAATAGGAGACAAAGAACGTAAGACATATACCTGTCTTTGTAGAGGTGCAGACCTAAAAAAATGGACCAGATCACTTAAGTTTCATATTAAATTATATAGTAATCAATTAAGCCTCAAACATAAACGAGACTGCATAAATTGCAATATCTATAGATTTGCCCTGCACTACACAAATAAACCTATGTTCAGGTTATTTGTGTATCGTTCCAGTCACAGATTTGTGCCGTTGTATTCTTTATTTACCATACATTTAAATATGACAAATTTTATTTCATTTATGTACATTAATATAAGAATACACAGACTAAAATCTTATTTGAACACAAAATGGCAGGCATGCTAAGACAAAAAAAAATTACTATATATAATAAAAAACACAGAGAAGATGTGAAAAGTACAACCAGATAAAAATGTTCATTTGGAAATGTCACAAATGGCACTTTGTGAAGAGAAAACACCAGAATTAACATCAACTACTTTTATTAGTAAATTGAAGAGCAAGTTGCCAAAAATTCTGCACTCAGGAGACGAACCTCATGAAGATGGTATCAACTTGTCATTCTATGTAAAGCTAATGACTAGACATGTATATGAGCCCTTTGCTCCAAGTATAAAAAAAAAAAGGTGAGAAAAAAAAAATAGAAAAGGAAATCAGGAGTAGGATTAAAATACTCACAAGGGTTTCATCATAATCATCAGCTTTGGGATTTACACACACTACCATGTTCACTTTGCCTTCCCCTTCAAAATAATTCTTGAAGTAGTGGGTAAGTTTGGAGTCTCTGTAGGGCACTTTCCTGACTCCTCCAGTCATCTGATTTTCTCGAAGAGCTTCAATGCAAGCTCTCAGGTTCATGAGCGAGTTATTGATGTTACCTGAAAGTTGATGCCGATCAAATTTATCATACTGCGAGTAGAAAAGCTTTCAACCTTGTGTGTAACTACTGGGCATTAAGCCTCCTACCTCCAAATAAAACGGAAATAATTTTTTGCAGATTCATTTTTTGCAAATTAACTTAACAGTACATGCAGTGACCCTATTTCTACCAGTAGTCTGTTATATTGTGAAAAAATTCACTCTTATGCTAATGGAGTAGGTTGTCACTAGGTGAGCTTTCCACATTCATGAGATCCCCCAAGCTCAGCACCACTATTTGTTAATAATCTCTCTGTAAGTATCCTCTAAATTGGTTTATGACGACATTCTTAAGAAAGGGCATAAAGTAACTGGACATATAGCATATGGTGTGGGGAAAGGCAATTGTGTGGGGAGGGAGGGTGAGATGAGAGCACAGTAAGCAGAGCAAGTGTGTCACCCAACCATTGTTTTACCCCTGCTTTCCCATTTGTTAACAACAGGTTATCACTAGAGCACCACTTTTAAGAAATGTAAATAGCTCATTATGAGAGTTTAATTTTTTTTTTAAACACATCGACTGTTTCCCACCGAGGCGGGGTGACCCAAAAAGAAAGAAAAAAAACTTTCATCACTCATACATAATCACTGTCTGCAGAGGTGTAACTTTCACAAACAAATGGGTTGATTTATACCTCATGCACAAACCATAGTGTCTTGAAGGTAAAGAATGACAGTACAATAAAACTTCAATTTAATAGATTAATAGGGGGGAGCAGGTGAGGTGGTGTCCAGTAATGCCGAATAATGTTAAAAATGTAACAAAAATAAAAGCATTACTACTACTACTATACCCTACTATGATTAGCACAGTACGTACTGCATGTGTACATGCATTCATACATGTGCGCAGTTGATGTTCACAACGTACATACAGAAAAAAGACAATTTTTTTTTTGTAACACATTGGCCGTCTCTCACCGCGGCAGGGTGACCAAAAAAAAAAAAACACTTTCAACATCATTCACACAATCATTGTCTTTGCAGAGGTGTCCAGATATGACAGTTTAGAGGGGTGATATTGTAGGTGGAGGGTAATCTGTGATGATAGCATATTTCTGGGAAAGACAGCTATTAGATGCATGGTGACTGTTTCCTTTCGATCACTTTGCCTTGGTGAGAGTTAGCCACCGAGTTAAAAATATTTTATTTTTTAACCTCAACGGCATTCTCTTGCTAAGGCAGGGTACTATTATTATTATAATCAAAAAGAAGCGCTAAGCCACAAGGGCTATACAGCTAAGGCAGGGTAGCCCAAAGAAAGCATTCACCGTCAATCAGTCAGTATCTATCTTTCCAGAAGTGTGCTTACATAACAGTTTAGACTACCCTTTGATTACAATATCCTTACCCCTTCTTCAGAATGCAGGCACTGTACTTCCTACCTCCAGGACTCGAGTCAGGCTAATTGGTTTCCCAAATCCTTTCCTAATTTTTTTCCTTGCTCACAATCCAACTGCACATCAAGCCAAAAAAAAAAAAAAACATTGCTACTAACATTTTTGTTATGAATAAAATAAAAAAAATTTATTTATTTATAACTTCTTACTGTCAACTCACTATTTATACCCATGAATATTAACTGTTGTCTACATTCAGCCCCAACTGGCCCAGGGGTTGTTGCAACCCTTCAACCCAGCAATTACAAAATGCAGTGATATCTTTTTTTGACATTTTAATAACTTGCTCTTAATTCTTTGTTTTTCACTCCTAAGATGGGAGGATATTATTCTGGGTATATTTATTTATTCTCCATGGTGAAGTGGAACAGAATTCTTCCTCTGTAGGCCTGGTGATGCCCGGGGTCAACTCCTTGATTGTATGCCCCAAAGACTCAAGTATAAAGCCTAGTACTGAGAAATATTATGAGAAAGGGAGATATTTTGAATATGTAAACACAGATGAAACATGAAATTAACACTTTATTCAATTTAAATATAAATCAACCAAATTTATTAAGTTCTTTTTCCCAAATGATACATCCTGTCAGAAAACACGAACTACTTCACTTTTTGCATCAGCTGTGAGAAATTCTTTTTCAATGCTTATTAAAACCAGGTTGGTCAGTCGCTCCTGTGACACTGAAGACCTCAGATATGTTTTTATTAATTTCAGTTTTGAAAATGACCTTTCACAACTTGCAACTGAAAATGCAATTGTAAGCAGTAATCTGTATGTAACACAGTGCCAGACAGACATCCCTCCCATACTGCAGTAAAGACTCCAGAACATCTTTAGGATCAGGGGGAATTTTATTCCCTTCAGCTCGAAGGAGCATCACAAAAGCAATAATTTCGTCATATAACTGAATGACTGCCACATCATTATCATAATAATTTGCAAAGTCTAAACATTCCTTTTTAATTTTTCTCTTTCTTGTTCGTCTTCAATTACTACTGAATTCAAGTTCAAAAGAAATGAGAATTGGTCACTGAGTCCTTGAAAATCACTATCTTATTTCCTCTCTAATTGGATCCCTTCCCACTTATTTGGATGCCCAGGGCCACCGCCCCTTTAGCTCCCCTTCCTCTGCACGCCACTGCTAGTAACCCCTTCTCCTGCATACATTACTAAATTTATAAAAGGAAACTTTTGTTTTTCTTTTTGGGTCACCAGGCTTCGGTGGGATATGGTCAATTTGTTGAAAGAAGAAAGATATTTATTTATTAAAAACATTACCTAATCACCTAGGTAGTAGGTTGGTAGACAGCAACCGCCCAGGGAGGTACTACCGTCCTGCCAAGTGAGTGTAAAACGAAAGCCTGTAATTGTTTTACATGATGGTAGGATTGCTGGTGTCCTTTCTTCTGTCTCATGAACATGCAAAATTTCAGGTACGTCTTGCTACTTCTACTTACACTCAGGTCACACTACACATACATGTACAAGTGTATATATACATACCCCTCTGGGTTTTCTTCTATTTTCTTTCTAGTTCTTGTTCTTGTTTATTTCCTCTTATCTCCATGGGGAAGTGGAATAGAATTCTTCCTCCGTAGGCCATGCGTGTTGTAAGAGGCGACTAAAATGCCGGGAGCAAGGGGCTAGTAACCCCTTCTCCTGTATATATTACTAAATTTGAAAGGAGCAACTTTGGTTTTTTTCTTTTGGGCCACCCTGCCTCGGTGGGATACGGCTGGTGTGTTGAAAGAAAGAAAGAAGATTACCTAATCACCCAAAATATGAAAGTGAATAATAACTCTACTTCTGCACCTAGAGGACTTTGTCCATTGTTTTCAGTCTGTTTAATGGAGGTCCATGAAATCGATATTCTACTGCCTCATCAACATGAAAGCTGGTAGGTATGCCTTATAGCAAATAATTTTATATGAACTACTGTAGTGCTGGTCAGTTTATGTCCATTCTAGTATATAGATAATATATGAAGCCCAAAAGCTCAAAATTTAAGGTCTGAATTTGCTAAAATAAGAATGTAAGTTAAAGGTATATTAAGTTGTACACTCAAATGTTCCTCAGCTAGACAGTCAGAAACTAGCATCCCGCAATCATTTAAAAATTGAACTTGTACTTCCCACAAAAGAATTCAGAAGGCAGGATGCTGCTTTGAAATAATGTTGTATAACCTCTCCAACGTTACCAAATGCAAAAAGAAAACTTTACATTTCTTCTTTTTCAGGTCACTCTGCCTCACTGGGAGACGCCCGTTGTGTAAAGAAAAAAACTTAAATTCTAAAAGTTTTTTTTTTTTTTTTTTTTTTCAACAAGTCGGCCGTCTCCCACCGAGGCAGGGTGACCCAAAAAAGAAAGAAAATCCCCAAAAAGAAAATACTTTCATCATCATTCAACACTTTCACCACACTCACACATTATCACTGCTTTTGCAGAGGTGCTCAGAATACAACAGTTTAGAAGCATACACATATAAAGATACACAACATATCCCTCCAAACTGCCAATATCCCAAACCCCTCTTTTAAAGTGCAGGCATTGTACTTCCAATTTCCAGGACTCAAGTCCGACTATATGAAAATAACCGGTTTCCCTGAATCCCTTCACTAAATATTACCCTGCTCACACTCCAACAGATCGTCAGGTCCCAAGTACCATTCGTCTCCATTCACTCCTATCTAACACGCTCACACACGCTTGCTGAAAAATTCTAAAAGTATCAGTAAATATTGCCAATCTCTAAGAGAATTCCTCTTACCTGCTTCCTTAATCCTGTCACCTACTGCTTTTGTGCGGGTGTTACGCTCTGAACCAGCCAAGTCCACTAGTGAAAGCTGTGACACAGTGATGGCATTCTTGGCTGTTACAACATCTTCACCCTGGGCATCAAGTGGTGCCTAGAAAATGAAAATTGGAGGATGCAAAGTACTGTAGTTAATACATATCCTAACATGAAATATTTATCAAAATAGCATTGCATTATATTAATAATGGCATCCAAGAAGTCTAATTTGAAGGGTGGAGATACACTGCAGTTTTTGAAATGTTGTATCTGCACACCTCTGGCAAGACAGACATAGAATGAATGACGATGAAAGTTTCTTTTTTATCGGGTCACTCTGCCTCAGTGAGAAACAGCCAATGTAACTCATCTTGGCCATTCTGCATCTAGTCATTTTTTAACCTGTCAAATACAGTATGAAGCATCCAACCCAAGAGCAGAACATTAGCACCTGCTTATATTTTTTAACCCATCACTATTACTAGTATTACGATAAATTTATATACGAAGTCACCCTACTTACAACATTCGCCAACGACCTGGACTGGCAGTCTAGGTGATCTGCCAATGAACTTTCATACATCCAAGCTTACCTGAACAACCCTGATAGTGAAAATGGAGTGTGACCGGGAGGACTCGCAGTTCAAACGTGTGTATGCAATCTTGCGTCTCTTGTCACCCTTGTACAGGACCTAAAAGAAACAATTAAGCTCATTATATATTATAATAAGTTTAATTTGATTATAAAATGAGTCCCCAACTTGCAAACAAGTTGCTTTTCATTTGTTTCAACTTATGACTAAGTTACAAGTTATTAGAAACCCTGAGACTATAATCCTATAGAAAATTATAATACAAAGAATAATTATGCATCACATGTTCAGAACTCTTTGGTTTTTCTTTTTAGGTCACCCTACCTCGGTGGAATACAGCCACTTCGTTGAAAAAACAAGTTCAAAACTGCAGATTGGCATCCTTGAAATAATTATTTTCTCAATATTCCATCTCTTGGATCTCTCTCACAGATGCAAATCTTCCTAACCTGGGCATTTGTTAGTTAGGGACCTTCCTGTACAGGAACCTTCATGTGCCCATCGTGAAAATAGTGAAAACTGTACAACCGTACTAGTAACAATTTTTTACAAATTAATTTTCTAAATGCACATTAGAATAATTTATGATAAAATGCTAGAACAGGTAAGCACAGTAAACCAATGCTTACTTCTAAAGCATCCTCAGGGCTCTTAACTTCCACTTCTGTACAGGCATGAACATACATATTGTGCTGCGAGTCTTCTCGGAGAATCTTAGTTTGTAGTCCCCTGTAATAAACATTTAAAACGAGTTACAATTTATCAAATCAGTAATGAATGCAGATGCTTGTTTAACCAACATTCTACCATCTGGAGCAACAATCAACCACCTGTTTGCCAGTGCACATACATCACAAAGGTTATCTGCCTTCTGTGCAGATTAGTGTAGTGAAAATATTATCTGGGTCTGATCATGTAAAAAGAAATGTAATAATTAGACAGATATTAGTGTATTTAAAAGATGAAATCATATTAACTTTTAAAAGAAATTTGGGCAAAAAAAAAAAAAAGCCCATTTTACAACAAAATCTTGTCGAGTTTTTAATTTAGGGATAATGCACCAAGCCACAAAACATAGCCACTACAAAAAATTTGCTAATACTCAAATCTATTCACAAGCAGCCCAGTAGTATTCCATTTGGTGTTGGTCAACAGGGTGGTGCCAAAAATCATAGGAAAAAAACACAAACTCAAGTACAGTAAAGAGGTTTGGTTCACTCCTTTGCCTCCTCTGTTTCCTCTATCTTACTGCATTACATGATATCCTGCTTGGAATATGGCACCGTTTATCATTTCATCTATAGAGCCAAAATGATTTTTGAGACTTGACGAGCTGTTGGAGTGTGAGCAAAGTAATATTTTGTGAATGTAGCCAGGCAAGAGGTAGGAAGTACAGTGCCTACACTCTTAAGGAGAGGTGTGGGATATTTGTTGTTTAAGACATCTAAACCGTCACATCGGTGCACCTCTGGCAAGACAGCGAGTGCAAATGGTGAAAGTGTTTCTTTTTCAGGTCACTCTGCTTTGGTGGGTGATGGCCAGCATGTTAAGAAAAATGTTTAATAGCTAAAATTACTTGTTTAACCTCTTCATCCCAATATAACAATAGACCCTTGGCACTTAAGAAAAAATGCCAAGCTTCCAGAACCAACAGAGAACCAGTGGCTGCCATCGTCTTCTTGAAGCCCCTAAGTGTGGAAATCCAAAGGTAAATTACCTGCTGCATCTTTGGTTACCCCCACAACCTGAGGAGACTGAGAACCTCTAACTTAAATTCTCATACAGAAGATGAAATTAGACATCATGGACTTATGGAGAGAATAGATTAGAGAGAGTTAACTAGTCTTACCTTGAAGGTCCAGTTTCTGGAAGCTCTTCTAACAAATCATAAATATAGTTGTTGTATATTTCAATGTAGGCCACAAAAATGGAAAACACGTTGTCATCATCAATGTTTTCAATGCGAGAAGTGTCTGGAATGCGTTGTGACGTGTCCTGAGACCCACCAGTATCTCTTCTGAAATATTACAGCAACATACAAGACATGTGACATGCAAAAATACTCAATAGTTGTATATAATAGTAACAGAAGTTAACTACAACTGTAGCTAGTATTTGTTAGTCAAATTAAATTATATGAGGCACTGAAGCAGGTTGAAGCCCAGTGCCATGGCAACTTTTGTATGGAAAGACAGTACCCCTTGCCATACTGTCAAAAACAAAAAAAAATTGGCTACATTATTGTGATTATTCCATACCTTAATAAATGATCAAGGAAGTGTCCCCTAATACTAAAATTTTAAGTGTCATTAAGCAGGTGTGGGAGGGCAATGACTTCTTTATCCTCTGTAAGTTAGCCTCATCATTGTCTAGGACACTTAAAGATACTAATTAGATCATGATTTAACCAGATGTCTGTTAAAATTATGAAGGAAAATTTGGTACTCTAGCGATTCCAGCAATGCTTTAACGTCATCACTGTACATGAATTGTATACAATACTGACAAGATGAAAATTAGACACAGGTGCAACATCTGGGTATCTTTACTGAAGACATTTTGCCATTCAGTGGCTTTTTTTTTTTTTTAAACAAACCAGCCGTATCCCACCAAGGCAGGGTGGCCCAAAAAGAAAAATGAAAGTTTCTCTTTTTAAATTTAGTAATTTAAACAGGAGAAGGGGTTACTAGCCCCTTATCCAGTGGCTTTATCAATATAAATTCAAGAACATAATTGGAAGACAGCAGAACTACATACAAAAGATGAGGTAATCAGTCCCTCAGCCTTGGAGTTAGTGAAGGACTCTGCATGACTATGGTGCTCTTCAACTCCAAAGCTGAGGGACTGATTACTTCATCTTTTGTATATAGTTCTACTGTCTTCCAATTATGTTCTTGAATTTATACTGATACAGCTACTGGACGGCAAAACATCTACAATAAAGATACCCAGATATTGCATGTGTCTAATTTTCAATGTCATTGTTGTGTTGGCTTAGGGACCTTGTGTTATATATCCCATAATTGGAGATACTTAACCCTTTGACTGTTGCGGCCGTATATATACGTCTTACGAGGTACCGTGTTTGACGTATATATACTCAAATTCTAGCGGCTTCAAATCAAGCAGGAGAAAGCTGGTAGGCCCACATGTGAGAGAATGGGTCTGTGTGGTCAGTGTGCACCATATAAAAAAAATCCTGGAGCACGCAGTGCATAATGAGAAAAAAAAAACTCTGACCGTTTTTTTTAATTAAAATGCCGACTTTGTGGTATATTTTCGTATAGTATTTATGGTTGTATTTTCGTTTTCTTGGTCTCATTTGATAGAATGGAAAACATATTATAGAAATAGAGGTGATTTTGATTGATTTTACTATAAAAAGAACCTAGAAATGGAGCTCAAAGTAGGGGAAATGTTTGATTTTTGCCAATGTTCAAAAGTAAACAAATGATGCCATTTTCCAATAAATGTCCAACTAGCCATTCTAATATGCAGTCATGAATGGGTTGATGTTATTTATACAATTATTACAGTATTGCAGTAGACTGCATAATAGTAAGTCTTCTATTTTTTGTTTGAATAAAAGTTCAAAATAGAAAGCAAGAGTAATATGAGAGGGGCCTGGAGACATGACTGATGAGCAAAGAAAATGTTATTTTAGAGCCAGGAATGTCTGCATTGTTCATTCTGGACCTTATTTTGAAATTGTCATATTTTTTATTTTTCGTGAAATTGGCCAAATTGCAAATTTCTGACCACATTATTAGGTAGTTGAAATCGGTAAATGGGCAGTTTCTTGTACTCAATCGATAGAAAAAATAGAGTTCTAAAGAAATAGCTATGAGTTTGGGCGACTGGAACAATGGAATTAGCCGAAAATAGGGCTCAAAGTGGGCGAAATCGCCGATTTGTAAACAGCGCCGAGGTCGCTAACTTCGCGAGAGCATAATTCCGTCCGTTTTCCATCAAATTTCGTTTTTTTCATGTCATTACAATCGGGAAAAGATTCTCTATCATTTCATAAGAAAAAATAATTTTTTTTTTTTTAAATTTTGCGACACCAGGAGACACCTCAGGATTGGGGGTTGCGACAGTCAAAGGGTTAATCAATTGATTTACTAAGGATGCGTTTTGCAACCTTTGCTGTTTAGTACTTGTTCATGTATAACTTCACAAACAGCCCAATCCTAAACAATATTTTTCTCACTCTACAAGTAGTCTTTTTTTTTTTAATTCATTTTAGGTAAAGATGTTTTAATGCAGAAAAAAAAATTCAAAACACATCTAACACCTGTTCAGGATTTACTCATATACATCACAATGCCACCAAAATGTTGCAAATCCTATATAACATTTTCCCTCTTCACTCTGATATCAGCCATACACTGATATATATTTGATGTCAAGGTAAATAGGTCTTGCCAATATCTTACCTTTATAATAGTAGAGACCTTTTTTTTTTTTTTTAAATAAAAAAGGTAATGGCACCAAAAACACAAAAATCTGATGTAATACTTATGGAATTATACAGGTGCAAAGTTTGAGGTAAGAAAGTACTTTATGCAATAGCTGTCACCTGATGAGGCCTATTTTCTGCCAGTTCCAGTTCTTTAACTGACTAGTACATCATGATGTCCTGGCACTTGATTGATACCTTAGGGGTTAATCTTTCAAGTGTCCAGACCCCTGATCGGAAAATTACTGTCCAAAAATTTAAAAAAAAAATGCCCACTTACCAAATAAAGTGATCGGAAATCGGGAATTTGGCCATTTTCGCACTAAATTCAAAAACTGCCAATTTAAAAATAGGATCCAGAATAAACAATGTAGATATTCCTGGCACTAAAAAACATTTCCTCTGTTCATCAGTTACATTCCCAAGCTTCTATATTACACCTGCTTTCCATTTTGAATTTTTCACACAAAAAAATAGATTTACTGCTATGCAGACTACACCATTATTATAATAATTTTATAATGTCACTGCATTCTTGAACATGTATTAAACCAACCACTTGAACACATACTGGATGAGTGACGTAATTTGTGTACTCTAGAATATCGGAAAAATCAAACATTTCTGCTAACTTGAGTTCAATTTCAAGTTATTTTCAGTCCTGAAACCAATCAAAATCATCTCTATTTCTGTAATATATCTTCCATTCTATCAAAAAAGACCAAGAAACCAAGAATACAACCACAAAAACCATACAAAAATACACCACAAAGTCACTTTTAAACCAAAAATGCAGTTGTATTCTTTTTCTCATTATGCACTGAGTGCTGCAGGATTTTTTTTATATGGTGCACACTTACCACACAGACCCATTCTCTCATATCTAGACCCAAATTTACCACTCACGGCTTATCTGAGTGAGCTGAGCTCATGGCGGAGCACTACAGCATAGACAGTGACCTCAAACCCATGTACTATGACACAGACAGCGACCTCAAACCCGTAGTACTACAGCACAGACGATGACCTCAAACCCGTAGTACTACGGCACAGACAGTGGCCTAAAACCTATAGTACTATGGCATAGACAGTGACCTCAGACCTGTAGTACTACAGCACGGACAGTGACCTAAAACCTGTAGTACTACAGCACAGACAATGACCTCAAACCCATAGTACTACAGCACATGCAGTGAAGTGGTTAAAGAGGGATAAAATATTTTATTTTATTTTATTATTATCACACCGGCCGATTCCCACCAAGGCAGGGTGGCCCGAAAAAGAAAAACTTTCACCATCATTCACTCCATCACTGTCTTGCCAGAAGGGTGCTTTACACTACAGTTTTTAAACTGCAACATTAACACCCCTCCTTCAGAGTGCAGGCACTGTACTTCCCATCTCCAGGACTCAAGTCCGGCCTGCCGGTTTCCCTGAATCCCTTCATAAATGTTACTTTGCTCACACTCCAACAGCACGTCAAGTATTAAAAACCATTTGTCTCCATTCACTCCTATCAAACACGCTCACGCATGCCTGCTGGAAGTCCAAGCCCCTCGCACCCCCTCCCTCCAACCCTTCCTAGGCCGACCCCTACCCCGCCTTCCTTCCACTACAGACTGATACACTCTTGAAGTCATTCTGTTTCGCTCCATTCTCTCTACATGTCCGAACCACCTCAACAACCCTTCCTCAGCCCTCTGGACAACAGTTTTGGTAATCCCGCACCTCCTCCTAACTTCCAAACTACGAATTCTCTGCATTATATTCACACCACACATTGCCCTCAGACATGACATCTCCACTGCCTCCAGCCTTCTCCTCGCTGCAACATTCATCACCCACGCTTCACACCCATATAAGAGCGTTGGTAAAACTATACTCTCATACATTCCCCTCTTTGCCTCCAAGGACAAAGTTCTTTGTTTCCACAGACTCCTAAGTGCACCACTCACTCTTTTTCCCTCATCAATTCTATGATTCACCTCATCTTTCATAGACCCATCCGCTGACACGTCCACTCCCAAATATCTGAATACGTTCACCTCCTCCATACTTCTCTCCCTCCAATCTGATATTCAATCTTTCATCACCTAATCTTTTTGTTATCCTCATAACCTTACTCTTTCCTGTATTCACCTTTAATTTTCTTCTTTTGCACACCCTACCAAATTCATCCACCAATCTCTGCAACTTCTCTTCAGAATCTCCCAAGAGCACAGTGTCATCAGCAAAGAGCAGCTGTGACAACTCCCACTTTGTGTGTGATTCTTTATCTTTTAACTCCACGCCTCTTGCCAAGACCCTCGCATTTACTTCTCTTACAACCCCATCTATAAATATATTAAACAACCACGGTGACATCACACATCCTTGTCTAAGGCCTACTTTTACTGGGAAAAAATTTCCCTCTTTCCTACATACTCTAACTTGAGCCTCACTATCCTCGTAAAAACTCTTCACTGCTTTCAGTAACCTACCTCCTACACCATACACTTGCAACATCTGCCACATTGCCCCCCTATCCACCCTGTCATACGCCTTTTCCAAATCCATAAATGCCACAAAGACCTCTTTAGCCTTATCTAAATACTGTTCACTTATATGTTTCACTGTAAACACTGGTCCACACACCCCCTACCTTTCCTAAAGCCTCCTTGTTCATCTGCTATCCTATTCTCCGTCTTACTCTTAATTCTTTCAATTATAACTCTACCATACACTTTACCAGGTACACTCGACAGACTTATCCCCCTATAATTTTTGCACTCTCTTTTATCCCCTTTGCCTTTATACAAAGGAACTATGCATGCTCTCTGCCAATCCCTAGGTACCTTACCCTCTTCCATACATTTATTAAATAATTGCACCAACCACTCCAAAACTATATCCCCACCTGCTTTTAACATTTCTATCTTTATCCCATCAATCCCGGCTGCCTTACCCCCTTTCATTTTACCTACTGCCTCACGAACTTCCCCCCACACTCACAACTGGCTCTTCCTCACTCCTACAAGATGTTATTCCTCCTTGCCCTATACACGAAATCACAGCTTCCCTATCTTCATCAACATTTAACAATTCCTCAAAATATTCCTTCCATTTCCCAATACCTCTAACTCTCCATTTAAAACTCTCCTCTCCTATTTTTAACTGACAAATCCATTTGTTCTCTAGGCTTTCTTAACTTGTTAATCTCACTCCAAAACTTTTTCTTATTTTCAACAAAATTTGTTGATAACATCTCACCCACTCTCTCATTTGCTCTCTTTTTACATTGCTTCACCACCTACCATCCGACTTACGACCTGCTCGACTTACGACCACTCGACTTACAACCGTGTTTTTTATGCCAAATTTCTGGGAAATAAACAACTATTTGTGTTGTACACAGTGTTTATCCTAAACCTTACAGTATAAAATACAGTACTAACAACATAAAAAGTAAAACATGAAATACCAAAATAAAACAATAAAATAAAGTCATCACAAAAATGTTTTGTTGATATTCATTAGTAAAGTTCGACTTACGACCATTTCGACTTACGACCGGTTTCTCGGAACTGAACTCGGTCGTAAGTCGGATGGTAGGTGTATTTTAGATCTAAAATATTAATGTACTGTATATTACAAATAATTGTTTACCATGATGAATTGATAAACAGCCATATAATCATACCTTAGTTTGTAAGACCTCGTCATTCTAGTGGTTGGATTAGCATCTAACCTTCGGCGATCACTGAAAGCATCAGATTCACACTGGCCATCAAATCCATTCATGCGATCTGGTTTAAAGATGCATCTCTTAGTTTGGTAATCATGGATACTGTTGAAGATCACATCAAGCGTTCTTCTCACAATTCCACCATCCTGTGGTGCACCCTAAAATTATGAATAGAAAAAATAAATTACTTCCTTATAATAACAAATTGCTGCTATTTTTATCAATGCTATTTTAAAATATCTAACAGGGTGGTTCACACTTTTCAATCCCTGCATAACTCAGTTTCAATCCACAAAGTGATACCTGTATACCCGGAGGGGTTTTCAGGGGTCAATGTCTCCGCAGCCCAGTCTGTTACCAGGCCTCATGGTGGATCAGGGCCTGATCAACCAAGCCGTTACTGCTGGCCACACGTAAACCGACGTACAAATCACAGCCTGGCTGATCAGGTACTACATACCTGTCCAGCGCCAGTTATGAGAATTTTCCTACTCCCACAGCCCACCCACGGGCCAGGCTTGTCTGGTAACTGCTTGGTTAACCAGGCTATTACTGTTGCTGGCCCACTGGCTCCATATACCTATCACAGTCTGGTTGACCTGGCGCTTGGTGGAGGTACATAGTTGTCAAGTTTCCTCTTGAAGACGTATATTTGCCCCAGCAGTGTATCTGATATCCTCTGGTACAAGGCTGAATAGTTTGGGCCTACAGATAGTTTTTCACTCATATTCTATACTTGTCTCATGTATTCATTGAAAATTTATTAACATAGGGCATAACCTAGTGTCCCTTACATCACAATAACTTAATTATCCCTCATTTTCACACACAATCCAGTTAAGCAACCAGAAAGAATACACTTGCCTGCATTGTGTATGTCTTGCCAGAACCAGTGACACCATAAGCAAAGAGAAGGCCATTTTTTCCTCTGAGAACATCTGCTATCAAGGGTTTGGCAACACAGTCAAAAAGTTCTTTCTGTGAGGTGTCTGGGCCAAACACACGTCGGAACTTGTAATGTTGTTCCTTGGCACTCCCATTGCGAAAAGCAAAACAGTTTACTGGAGGAGTAAGCTGGAAATAAAAGCAAGATCTAAAAATACAAAATTTAGAAAAGACACCCAAATACATCATACTTCAAATTTGTATGAATACAACAAAACTATAGGTAATACAATAACTATGAACCTTTCACAAGGTGAGTGCCTTTGCCATGCTCTCCTGAGTGGTCTATTTTTTAGCTAGAGAAATTATTAAGGCAAATTATTTTATATGGATGTCCTGGCCCTAAGCGAAACAAAGCTGAAGGGGGTAGGAGAGTTTCAGTGGGGGGAAATAAATGGGATTAAATCTGGAGTATCTGAGAGAGTTAGAGCAAAGGAAGGGGTAGCAGTAATGTTAAATGATCAGTTATGGAAGGAGAAAAGAGAATATGAATGTGTAAATTCAAGAATTATGTGGATTAAACTAAAGGTTGGATGCGAGAAGTGGGTCATAATAAGCGTGTATGCACCTGGAGAAGAGAGGAATGCAGAGGAGAGAGAGAGATTTTGGGAGATGTTAAGTGAATGTATAGGAGCCTTTGAACCAAGTGAGAGAGTAATTGTGGTAGGGACTTGAATGCTAAAGTAGGAGAAACTTTTAGAGAGGGTGTGGTAGGTAAGTTTGGGGTGCCAGGTGTAAATGATAATGGGAGCCCTTTGATTGAACTTTGTATAGAAAGGGGTTTAGTTATAGGTAATACATATTTTAAGAAAAAGAGGATAAATAAGTATACACGATATGATGTAGGGCGAAATGACAGTAGTTTGTTGGATTATGTATTGGTAGATAAAAGACTGTTGAGTAGACTTCAGGATGTACATGTTTATAGAGGGGCCACAGATATATCAGATCACTTTCTAGTTGTAGCTACACTGAGAGTAAAAGGTAGATGGGATACAAGGAGAATAGAAGCATCAGGGAAGAGAGAGGTGAAGGTTTATAAACTAAAAGAGGAGGCAGTTAGGGTAAGATATAAACAGCTATTGGAGGATAGATGGGCTAATGAGAGCATAGGCAATGGGGTCGAAGAGGTATGGGGTAGGTTTAAAAATGTAGTGTTAGAGTGTTCAGCAGAAGTTTGTGGTTACAGGAAAGTGGGTGCAGGAGGGAAGAGGAGCGATTGGTGGAATGATGATGTAAAGAGAGTAGTAAGGGAGAAAAAGTTAGCATATGAGAAGTTTTTTCAAAGTAGAAGTGATGCAAGGAGGGAAGAGTATATGGAGAAAAAGAGAGAAGTTAAGAGAGTGGTGAAGCAATGTAAAAAGAGAGCAAATGAGAGAGTGGGTGAGATGTTATCAACAAATTTTGTTGAAAATAAGAAAAAGTTTTGGAGTGAGATTAACAAGTTAAGAAAGCCTAGAGAACAAATGGATTTGTCAGTTAAAAATAGGAGAGGAGAGTTATTAAATGGAGAGTTAGAGGTATTGGGAAGATGGAAGGAATATTTTGAGGAATTGTTAAATGTTGATGAAGATAGGGAAGCTGTGATTTCGTGTATAGGGCAAGGAGGAATAACATCTTGTAGGAGTGAGGAAGAGCCAGTTGTGAGTGTGGGGGAAGTTCGTGAGGCAGTAGGTAAAATGAAAGGGGGTAAGGCAGCCGGGATTGATGGGATAAAGATAGAAATGTTAAAAGCAGGTGGGGATATAGTTTTGGAGTGGTTGGTGCAATTATTTAATAAATGTATGGAAGAGGGTAAGGTACCTAGGGATTGGCAGAGAGCATGCATAGTTCCTTTGTATAAAGGCAAAGGGGATAAAAGAGAGTGCAAAAATTATAGGGGGATAAGTCTGTTGAGTGTACCTGGTAAAGTGTATGGTAGAGTTATAATTGAAAGAATTAAGAGTAAGACGGAGAATAGGATAGCAGATGAACAAGGAGGCTTTAGGAAAGGTAGGGGGTGTGTGGACCAGGTGTTTACAGTGAAACATATAAGTGAACAGTATTTAGATAAGGCTAAAGAGGTCTTTGTGGCATTTATGGATTTGGAAAAGGCGTATGACAGGGTGGATAGGGGGGCAATGTGGCAGATGTTGCAAGTGTATGGTGTAGGAGGTAGGTTACTGAAAGCAGTGAAGAGTTTTTACGAGGATAGTGAGGCTCAAGTTAGAGTATGTAGGAAAGAGGGAAATTTTTTCCCAGTAAAAGTAGGCCTTAGACAAGGATGTGTGATGTCACCGTGGTTGTTTAATATATTTATAGATGGGGTTGTAAGAGAAGTAAATGCGAGGGTCTTGGCAAGAGGCGTGGAGTTAAAAGATAAAGAATCACACACAAAGTGGGAGTTGTCACAGCTGCTCTTTGCTGATGACACTGTGCTCTTGGAGATTCTGAAGAGAAGTTGCAGAGATTGGTGGATGAATTTGGTAGGGTGTGCAAAAGAAGAAAATTAAAGGTGAATACAGGAAAGAGTAAGGTTATGAGGATAACAAAAAGATTAGGTGATGAAAGATTGAATATCAGATTGGAAGGAGAGAGTATGGAGGAGGTGAACGTATTCAGATATTTGGGAGTGGACGTGTCAGCGGATGGGTCTATGAAAGATGAGGTGAATCATAGAATTGATGAGGGAAAAAGAGTGAGTGGTGCACTTAGGAGTCTGTGGAGACAAAGAACTTTGTCCTTGGAGGCAAAGAGGGGAATGTATGAGAGTATAGTTTTACCAACGCTCTTATATGGGTGTGAAGCGTGGGTGATGAATGTTGCAGCGAGGAGAAGGCTGGAGGCAGTGGAGATGTCATGTCTGAGGGCAATGTGTGGTGTGAATATAATGCAGAGAATTCGTAGTTTGGAAGTTAAAGGGGAAGGTGCGGGATTACCAAAACTGTTGTCCAGAGGGCTGAGGAAGGGTTGTTGAGGTGGTTCGGACATGTAGAGAGAATGGAGCGAAACAGAATGACTTCAAGAGTGTATCATCTGTAGTGGAAGGAAGGCGGGGTAGGGGTGGGCCTAGGAAAGGGGTTGGAGGAGGGGGTAAAGGAGGTTTTGTGTGCGAGGGGCTTGGACTTCCAGCAGGCAAGCGTGAGCGTGTTGATAGGAGTGAATGGAGACAAATGGTTTTTAATACTTGACGGCTGTTGGAGTGTGAGCAAAGTAACATTTATGAAGGGATTCAGGGAAACCGGCAGGCCGGACTTGAGTCCTGGAGATGGGAAGTACAGTGCCTGCACTCTGAAGGAGGGGTGTTAATGTTGCAGTTTAAAAACTGTAGTGTAAAGCACCCTTCTGGCAAGACAGTGATGGAGTGAATGATGGTGAAAGTTTTTCTTTTTCGGGCCACCCTGCCTTGGTGGGAATCGGCCGGTGTGATAATAAAAAAAAAAAAAAAATCCAAAATAGCTTCTCCCTGGGGAAGTGGAGCAGAATTCTTCCTACGTAAGCCATGCGTGTCGTAAGAGGCGACTAGAATGCCAGAAGCAAGGGGCTAGTAACCCCTTCTCCTGTATAAATTACTAAATTTAAAAAGAGAAACTTTCGTTTTTCTTTTTGGGCCACCCTGCCTCGGTGGGATACGGCTGGTTTGTTGAAAAAAAAAAAATCCAAAATAGCTATCTTGAAGTGCAAAGGGCATCACAAATCAGATGAATATCTGAACTGCAACATTCTCATTGTCTGGTGTGATTGTGGTCAGAGCAAAGTACCCTTGGTGGTTTGTCTGTCTTCACACCTGTTGCAAATTTCTCAAATTCTTTGTTTTTTTGTGGTGCAGCTGCAAACAAATCATCCCCCTCACTATATGATGCTGGTAGAAATGATCAACTAAGATACTTTATTTTAGCATCATACAATGTACAGAGTTGAATGACATTAAGGTGTGCATGCAAAAAGTCCCTTAATATAAAGAGCATTTCTGGCAAACTTAAGATTAATAAGGTAATGACAAATTAAGTGGTTTTATATAGTCTCTTAGGTGGTTATAAATATAAATTTAGGAGTTATAATGAATACAAGATAATTGAATATCCTATTAGTACATGCTATATGGCTTTTATCAAGTTCAACTGTTTGCAGAATTGCAGGTTTGATTATGATTATACGTAATGAGGAGCCTAGCATATTAACAGATGAATACATGTAACTCTTAGGTATCTACTGTATTTACAGGGACACCAATTGTTAGAAGGCTTGCCCATATATCCTGCCTCACCTTTAATAATCTTTATTTCTACAAGTACAAGTACAACATACAGACCTAACTGACGTCAATGACATACTATATAGAAAGCCCCCTTGTTATTCACTGGAACCCTTGCACAAACTTTGTTCATTGAAATTTCCTCGAAATGTCAATATGGCATAAATTTTAGTTAATATCGAATATGAATGTTCGATGCTAAATTTGTGTGGTACAGTATTCCATTAGCATACCTTCACAGTGCATGGATCAACAACAGTGACACAGTCTTCCTGGTCAGGAGAGTCACTAGGTCGAATGCGACAGTAGACTTCCACTGGGTCCTGCTCTACATTCCGTTCGACCGTCTTAGGCTTTGGGGTGGGTCGAGGCTTCCGGACTTGAGGCGTCCTACTGAAATTTAAAAAAAAAAAGAAAAAGCAGTACTATAGTAGGTTCCTAAAACAAATTTTTAGTGCATAACTAGTACAACCTTAAACATTAATTATGAAGTGTTAATATAGCACATCTTAATATATAGTACTATGCCTTGATTACTTTCTTCTTATCTCCTGCCACCCTGACCTTCATACCCACTGCAGTAATGCAATTCATATTTTCTGACTCTAACACTACATAATTCTCATACCTACTTTATTTCAGTTTTACTCTTAATGATTCAGAGATGATGGATTGCACACCCTAATCTCAGACCAGTCCTCCTAAATTGGAAAGGAAATATGACAACACTAAAAACAATGCAACGGATAGTAGGGAAAGTGTATTGTGAATAAATAAAAGCTGCAAGGTATATGTGCCATCTTGCATGTCCCTGATGCAGAGAGTAGACCACAGCATTTCTGCCTGTGTGAAACACTTAAGAAGCTCCTTATTTCACACTTTGGTGAGAGGACAGTACTTCCAGCCTCTACTTCAACAGAAAAAACTAGCCTGCTGTGAATGCTTCTAAATAGTTTAATGTAATTAAGTCAAACATTACAAATTATCTTTTTTGCATGGCTGTGTGGGTAAAACAAGTGTTTATTAAGATTAGGTTATATTACTTTATACTTTATATTAGCCTTTTGGTCACTGAGAATTAGATGTATTGGAGCAAGTTGCAAGGATGTACAGTGGTACCAAGAGTTACAAACTTAATTCGTTCCAGAAGGCTGTTCAAGTGCCGATACCGAACGAATTTGTTCCCATAAGGAATAATATAAATTAGATTAGTCTGTTTCAGACCCCAAAAATACACTTACAAAAGCACTTACAAAAATACACTTACATAATTGATTGAGTTGGGAGCTATTCAAAACCCAAAGTACCACTGTATTTTATTTAAACATTAGAGAATTTCATTCAATTTAATCCCTGATGGAATATGTCAGGACATGTGTGTTGACCCTGGTTGTTGTGCCAACGTCTAGCTTTGATGAAGCATAGGTGACATTCTTTACCAAGGATGCTTGTCCTTGTCATACTCTGTCCACTGGTCACATTAGCTGCCACACTCTTTTTCTGCTCTCAGGATTTTCTACAGCTGTGGGAGCAGCAGCCTGTTGCTGGTGGTGTAGCCTTTAAACTCACTAAGTCTTCCCCAGGATGCAACACACGAGTTGACAAACACCTAGGTACCTATTTACCCCTAGGCTAATAGGAGCTGCAGGTTCTAGGAGACTTCTCCATACATTTTGTCTTGCCCAGGAATGATCCTGGGTCCTTTAGTTGAGATATAAACATTCTTCTGGTAACAAAAATCCTTCTGGTAGTTTAAGGTAGTATTACCAACATGTTAGGTAAAAGGACATTTACAAGTAATGTAACATCTTATTGTGGCAACATTGCCACAAAATGCCACATTTATTTATTTATTTATTTATTTATTTATTTATTTGAACATGGTACAGAGAAGTACAAAGGAATACATACAGCTATTAAAGTGCAACATGCCAAAGCCTCTTGTATGCAGAGCATTATGGGCAGCTTAAAATTAACTTAAGATTAACTAAGCAATGATATATTCAGTGGTAAAAACATTATTATAAACAGATAACAATTTAGCACAAATGAGTATTACAAATTAGTTGCACATGCGTTCTTTAACCTAAGAAAAGACGATATATAAAAAATAACCCTAAAAGCCATTATAGGCTTATTTCCAATGATACAAAATGTAATGATTAACTAAGGCCTAAATAATTAAAAGAAAAAAATAATGGTCAAATTACCCTCGGAAATGTGAAATGAACTTTGGGTTATCTTAGGTAATATTTTACATAATTTACTACTCTTTATGAAGCATTGTAAGTTTATTTAGATACAGGTACACATAAGTACAATTATCATACATAGTGTAAATTACCTAGGAAACACACACAAAAAAAGTCAAAATGACTCATTTCCATTGGCATACATGAAAAGTTACTGGATAAGAGAATATGGAAGCCAAAAAAAAATAAGAAATCCAAGTGTGCCAAGAGTAGAGAGGAAAACATTTTGATTCTTTTTTTTTATCATGGGAAAGCACTAAACCCATAGGAGGGGTCCACACACAGCCTATCATGTCAATCACTCTTATATCAGTCGCATGTTGTACTTTGCAGAAATAGTTATTATCCTTATCATAGGGAATGGGAGGAAATGAGACAGGATCCAAGGAAGGAGAGGCAGCATTCAAGGAAGGCGAGGCAGCATCCAAGGAAGAAGAGGCAGCATTCAAGAAGAGGCAGGATCCAAGGAAGGAGAGGCAGCATCCAAGGAAGAAGAGGCAGCATTCAAGGAAGGAGAGGCAGCATTCAAGGAAGGAGAGGCAGGATCCAAGGAAGGAGAGGCAGCATCCAAGGAAGAAGAGGCAGCATTCAAGGAAGGAGAGGCAGGATCCAAGGAAGGAGAGGCAGCATTCAAGGAAGGAGAGGCAGCATTCAAGGAAGGAGAGGCAGCATTCAAGGAAGGAGAGGCAGCAATCAAGGAAGGAGAGGCAGGATCCAAGGAAGGAGAGGCAGGATCCAAGGAAGGAGAGGCAGCATTCAAGGAAGAAGAGGCAGCATTCAAGGAAGGAGAAACAGGATCCAAGGAAGATAAGGCAGCATCCAAGGAAGGAGAGGCAGCATTCAAGGAAGGAGAAGCAGCATTCAAGGAAGAAGAGGCAGGATCCAAGGAAGGAGAGGCAGCATTCAAGGAAGAAGAGGCAGCATTCAAGGAAGGGAAAAAACAGGATCCAAGGAAGATAAGGCAGCATCCAAGGAAGGAGAGGCAGCATTCAAGGAAGGAGAAGCAGCATTCAAGGAAGGAGAGACCAGACCCAAGGAAGAAGATTCTTAAAGTCCAGTTCCTGGGATCAAAAGCCCTCTCCATAGCATGAAGACCCCCTGACAGTGACCAGGGTAGTGCCAGACAGTGCCAGCAAGTCACTATCAACACACAAACACACCATCACACAACAAACACCTTCTTATCACACTATTTACTCTCTCCACCTCCTTGTCTGCCACCAAACACCTCCCTCATCAAACCCAATTTTCACCCTTTAAACAACCCCATACACCCCCATAACTTACCCACACCCATAAATAATTCACCGGCCCTTAAACTGGGGGCAAAAATAGCAAGGAAATACTCACTCAGGCTTCATAATGGGTGAAAATAAGGAGGGAAGCAGCAGCGGTGTTTTCGAAAATGAGTGGCGGGTACAGTGGTGCCCTCACCCGGCCACTACACACACTACTGTAACACTTTTAAATAAGTAAATAAGTAAATAAGTAAGTTTATTCAGGTATACACATAGTTACTTAGATTATCATACATAGCAACATATGTGTAGGGAACTTAGAATAACCCAAAAAAGTCAAAGTGACTTATATAAGTATATACTTATATAAGTAAGTAAGCTTATTTAGGTATAGGGACACTTAATTACAGTTTCACGAATTTTCATACGTATTCACCTATTTGTACTCACCTATTTGTGGTTGCAGGGGTCGAGTCCTAGCTCCTGGCCCCGCCTCTTCACTGATTGCTACTAGGTTGGGATTAAAAATACTAATGATGCTATTATACACATGCTAGAACATATATACACTGCAATAGAGAAAAAAGAAGTCCCACTGGGGATCTTCATTGACTTACGTAAAGCTTTTGATACAGTTGACCATGACTTGCTCCACGTAAAATTGTCACACTATGGTATTAGAGGGCACTCCCTCAACTACCTCAAGTCTTACCTCAGCAACAGAAGCCAATATGTGTACGCAAATGGGGCAAGCTCTTCCGCTCAACCAATTACAGTTGGTGTCCCACAGGGAAGTGTCCTTGGCCCTCTTCTCTTTCTCCTATACATAAATGACCTACCAATGCTTCGCAATTACTCAAACCCACATTTTTGCAGGTGACACTACATACGTTCTTCTTAAACCCGAGCCCAGTCACGCTAGCCAATACTGTAAATACGAATTACAGAAAATATCTACCTGGATGAGGACTAACAAACTTACACTAAACATTGACAAAACCTACTTCATTCAGTTTGGTAACAGAGTTACAGATGTCCCTCTTAACATAACAATAAACGGATCCCTATCACAAGCTAACAGAGGGAAAATTCCTAGGAATCCACCTCGATAATAGACTCAAATTTCATACACATATACAACAAATTTCTAAGAAATTTCCAAGACTGTGGGCACACTATCGAAGATACGGTACTATGTTCCACAGTCACCCCTCTGGCCCTTTATCACTCTCTTATTCACCCCTATTCACTATGGAATTTGTGCAGGGGGCTCAACAACAATTAACCATCTCAGACCACTAATTACCCAACAAAAGGCTGCAGTTAGAATGATAACAAATTCTCACTACAGGCAGCCCCACTCCCCCAATATTCAAAACACTAAAACCTATTCACCATACAAACATCCATACTTATTATTGCACCTATTACATACATAGAACACTTAACTCTGATATTAAACCCTCCCTCAAACATCTCCTTGCCAACTCAACAAAAAACACATGACCATAACACAAGGCACAGATCACTCTTTGATGTCCTCGTGTCCATCTCACGCTATGCAAAAACTCAAGCACATAAAAGGCCCTAAAATCTGGAATTCATTACCTGTAAATAAAAAAGAAACACTACCTGTTTAAATTCAAGTCTCTTCTCAAAGATCACTTACTCACTAAAAAACCAAATAAATACTAAATAACTGAACCTTATAAATTGTATATCCTAAATGTTACTCACAATTATATCACACAAATGTTAAACCTAGGACCCAATCTAACTTTTATTTTTTTAAATATACTACCTAACAGAATACTCCATTCTACTGAATGTACAGCAATGCAAGCAACATATGCCCTGTCTTTGTAATACTCACTTGTGCTTTATAGTTATCTGTTTAAAATAATGTTTTATCACTGATTACATCATTGCTTAGTTAATTCTTAAGTTAATTTTAAGCCAGCCCGTAATGCTATGCATATAAGTGGCTTTGGCATGTGCTCTTACCGGTATTTTTTTTACCTTTCCTTAGCGTGATTTTCAGCGTGCCTCGTTGTCCGGTTTTTTCTTGTTTTCACGGTCGCTCTTACGTGCTAGAACTTTATTTTTGTGTCATCAATCCTATACGATACATCCCTCTAGCGCCTGGAACCAATCTTGGGGCGGAAAACATTATATACTGAGTCAAAAAAGGAGAATTAGTTTTGCATTACCTAGCAGAGTTTACTGCCAGAGGGGAATCATAGGCCTGTTTCCCGTGTTGAAAAAAATAATAATAATTGAACTTTGTGTCAGAGGAAAGAAAGTCTCCCGGGAAAGCATTGAGTATAATAGTGTTAGTGTATACTACAGTGGCTCCTAGTATATTGAGGGATAAAGGCTAAAGGTTTCCATTTGAAAACAGGTGAATTTGTAAATGAAGTGAAAGCCTATAGAGGCAAGGAGCCAGAAGTCGCCAGAAACTTACCACAGGTCAGCTGTTTTTAATAATCTTCCCGGTTGCTAGTGTACTCGCATATAATCTAGTGATACCAGTGAATAGCAGAATACAGTGTTGTAGTAGCAAACTAACCAGTATTATAATGGTACTTAGTGGAGTGGAGTGACTTTCATTAGTTTCTTTTTCTTGGGAAAAACCAGACGTTACTGTGAATTCAATATAACCCGTAGTTACCGCGGTCGCCCAAAATACACAACGGGAAGCAATTATTACTACAGAAAAAGCGTCCTTCCTCCAAAATTTTGCACCAGTCAACTATAGTGATTTAAAATAGCATTTATTGTGGTGGGACGGAAAAAACAAAAATAGAAAAGCCAGATACAGCGATTGATAAACAAAGAGGTCGACTGTACGTCATTGTAGGAGCTGCCAGATATCACCGGCTTTCAACACGCAAGTTATACTTTTGTATCAGTCAAATCACATATTACTCGGGTAGATAATTTCCAGTAGACCTTCATGTGTTAGCTCAAATCACCGACCAGTATGTTTTTAAATAAGTGACCCACTGATCAGAGCAGATCGACTGGTCCGAACCCCTTTATGGTTCGAACCCGGGACTGGTTTCAAACAGTTTCGTTGGACAATAAAGCAGACTGTAAACGGATGGGTTTGTAGGCGCCCTTTTAAACACAAACATTAAAATCAGGAACGTGACGGTAAGCTGTCCAATATACAAAAAAAGTTAGAAACAGAAATACAATAGCTAGAGCTTCATTTAAGGTTATTAATATAATTTTTCAAGAGGTTGCTAGTTAGAATTGCAGTAAATCAACCATTACATCATTATGAAGCTGGTGTAGTCTGTGGTCAGTCAAACAAACGGGTTCCCCCATGGATAAATTGTCATTTTTGTGGAAATTGGTGTCACGCTCCTTGTGCAGATATCCCCGAACTAGCTACAAGCGTATTAAAACAGAGAAGTGTTTTTGGGTATGCCCAAATGAGGGAAAAACTGTGGACTAAAATCACAAGGGTATTAAAAAAGGGGCAACATCAAAGCGCTTTCATAGAAAACCCGGAAGCTTTCTACAACAGATGGGAACATAAAAAAATCTGGGCTGAATGGTTTCTGCCCTTGATACTGGCCATGTAGTCACAAACTGTAAGGCTGGAGGTGTTGCCTGGTAGTCAGTAAATGTGGGGCTGATAGTGCTGTCCTGGGAGACAGTAATGGTGAAGCTGGAGGTGCTGTCCTGGGAGACAGAAATGGTGAAGCTGGAGATACTGTCCTGGGAGACAGTAATGGGGAAGCTGGAGATTTTGTCCAGGTAGTCGGGAATTATACGCAGGAAGGAATACATTAAATGGGCCTCATAGAAGACAGGAGCCATAGTAGGGAAACAAGTGTAGTCAAAGATAAGATAAAACCAAAATTGCAAAAAAGAAATACCGCAGGAATAGCAAAAAGAGGACTCCAATAGCAATAGTGAGGATAAATTACCAAAACAACTGGTGGGAGCTCCATTGTTGGTTTCTAGGGAGGATAGGAATAAGACAGGGAAACATGCACCCAAAAGGGGAATACAGTCACAGAAACCCAAGGCAAACGGAAAACCAAGCCTGTGCACATACTATGCACTTGTATCGCTGGCATGGGAAATCTGGAAAAAACAGATGGGGGCATGCAACTATGACCACCCTAGAAAATGTCATGTCCCTATGACAACAGGAAAATGCAAACTCCCTTCCTGTAAGCTTTTTTTCACCCTGAAATGTTACCTCTTCATACAGGAAAAACTGTGCTATAACTTAAATTGCCCGGCATACCATTAAAGGGGACAAAAAGATACAAAACATCCAGGCCATGGGAAACCTGGGTAGCCCCAGACACTCAAGAGGGAGAGGTTTTTTAGTGCCAGGAAGGAAAAAAAACTGGCAGGAAAAAGGCGAAATCGTACACCAAATCCAGTCATTCCTGGAGTGGAACCACAGTCGATGGCCTCCACTCCACAAACAACAGATACAGATACTAATGCCGGAAAAAAAATCCCCCCCCCGTACCAACAATACCACCAGTCCGATAACATTCTTTTTTGCAAATATACAGGGTTTTAAAGCCAGCAACAAACAACAAAATACCTTTCAAACCGTGGACTGCTTGCAGAGGCAAAGGCAATGTTCGCGGCTTTCACTGAGACCCACATAAAGGATCACTTGGACAACGAAATATGGATCCCAGGTTACAAACCCATACAGATGTGACAGAGTGAACAGGCAAAAGGGGGGGGTTGGCCCGTACTTGCAGAGTCAAATTGTTTGCACAGAACTGCTTAATGCCTCAAATGACGTAGTGGAAGTTTTTAGCAGTAAAGGTCGAGAACCAAAACTAGTCATTGTGGGGAGTCTACAAGCCTCCGGATTTCAACTTCCCAGCAATTCCAGGAACAGCTGTTAAAATTGACCACTGTCTGGAAAATCTTCCAGCTCCTGCACCCAACATCTTGCTCCTGGGGGATTTCAACTTAAGGCACCTAAAATGGAGGAATATAGCAAATAATATTGTTGCAGAAATAACACCAGGAGGCAGCTCTGATGAAAACTCACACTCACACGAGCTTTTAAATCTCGCACAAAATTCAATTAACCAGCAAAAAAATAGAGCCTACTAGATGGAGAATACACTAGACCTCATATTCACTAACAATGATGATCTGATAAGAAATGTCACCATATCAAAAACAATATACTCAGATCACAACATAATTGA